TAATGTTTTTTAAAGTTTTCAATTTAAAATTTTATAAATTAAAATACAAAATAATAATTCAAAAAATATAGATAATATAAATATAAAATCATATATCACAAAATTAAAATTTATTATTTTATGAATAATCTTAGAAATAGACTAGATATAAAAAAATATAATAAATAATTATTTTAAAGTTTTTTATTTCAGTAATATTTATTTTTGTTATTCTTCTTTTATTTTATTTTTGGTTAATAAAGTGTATATAACAAGTACCTACTTCAACTTGAATGATATATTTAGAATGGATTTTTTATTTGATAGGAATTGCATTATAATATTTAATAATGGTATTGATTATTGAAATTGAGGCACATATATGTTACCAAAACTTATTATCAACAAAAATAATAACTTATTTGATATATTTAGAATTTTCTAATAAATATTTTATAATTTAAAACAAATTATTATTGTTCATTTAACACTACAGAAAAGATAGGTCAATACATATTGTACATCTTAGTAGTACAACTCTTTTGAAAACATTGTGAATAATATTGATTTGTCACATTGATATTTAATCTCTTGCAACCAGATTTAAATATTAAGCTGCACATGTTTAAAAATTTCATTAAATTTTGATCTTTGAATACATATAATTAGCTTGATTAAGATTTGAATTAATTTCAAATGCTATTAAAAAAATGTTAATATGTAAAAGCTTAAGGTAAGCTATAGCATATCATATAATTATATATAATATAAATTTATCCCGAATTTGTAGATTTTTACTTTACCATAAGATGAAATTGTCTTACAAAAGAATTTTTATTTTATCTATGAAAGATACTGATTAAAGAAACCAGTGTATAAGTATGTATATATATATATATATATAATGTACTTTAATTGTATACCTTTTTTAATTTGCACAATTTGAAAATCACTTGTGAGTTCTTGTTGGTTTTATTGTTTGATTAATGTTGTGAACTAAATTCCTTTATTTCTGATACTTTGATTATTTTGTATTGATTGTAATTTTAAATTTTTTATTGATTTTCTATAATTTTATACTCACAAAAACATATATATATATATATATATATATATAAATCATTCATTCATATAAACTTACTTAAATCATTCATTCATTTTACCTCTTAATAATATTCTAAATTTCAAAACCAATTCAATTTATTATGCACATAATGTTAATTTGAATTAAAAACCTCTAAATCTTCAAAGAGATTTTTCACTAAAGGTTTAGTTCATTAGTTGGATATTGAACCACAAATAATTCTAAGAATGTTTATTCTATATTTTCTTAGATTTTTACATCTAATAATAAAAAAATATACATATTTCAAACAAAATCTACTAAAGTAGAAGTGAAAATAATTTAATTCATATATAACTTATTTGTAAAAAGTATGATAAAAAGTGATATATTATTAACTAAAACAAAGATATAATCATCTTATGAATCAACTCAACATGATATTTAATGTACAAATCAGGCATTACAAACTCTTATAACAAATAAATATCAACTTTTACATTATCATCTTAAACTTTAATGTTGATTTATTGTCATCTTTTTCTTTGAAACTACTACCTCAGGTTTTGGAGGAATGGAAGGTTTACAAGTTCCTTCCATTTACAACAATCTAAAGTGGGATAAGAAAGGAAGGCTACTTGGCAATTTGGAGAGTGATTCACACCATCTTATATTTAGTTCTACAAGATTAGAAAAGCTCTCAAATCTTAGATGCTCATTCTCTAAATTCTTGAAGATGAAGCAATTACTTAGATCTAAGATTTGTAAGTTCTTTAATTTTGCAAGTGATTGAGGAAGGGTATCAAGCTTCTCCAATCCTACTAAACTAAATTATTTCTCCAATCCTACTAAACTAATAAACTAAATTATTTCTCCAATCCTACTAAACTAATAAACTAAATTATTTCTCCAATCCTACTAAACTAATAAACTAAATTATTTCTCCAATACTAAACTAAGTTATTTAAGCCATGCCATTGCACCATCTTCCAACTTTGGCAATAATGCAAGTTTATAACATTGCCATAACATGAAGTTCACAAGAGTTGGAAAACCATCTTCTCCACCAAAATAGTAGAGTCTCTAAAACAACACAATCATAGAAACTCAAACTCACCAAATCTGGAAGACGATCTAGGGCTGGAAGTGAGACCAACGTTGACGACCATATATAATTAGGGTTTTTAGACGTGGGAGGGAACACACAGAGTCTGGAATAGAAACCAACCCCTCACATCCGAGCCAGCGGCATTCCAAGTGTTGCCAGTCATCACTCCTCAACTCTGGAGGCTCTATAAGTTGCTAACCTCCTCTTTCCCACAACTTCAACGTCTGGAGCCTCTTTGACGCAGTCAACAACTCAACTAGCAACCGCACCGAGTAATCGATAATCCATACAGTCAAATGTTCTAAACCAACAAAGGTGACGAGGTCCCGCAGCGCTAATTTTCCTCTCAACGTTTTGGAAAGCCCCTCCCAAAGAGTTGTTTTCCACAAATTGTGCCTTGTACAAATATTCAAAATTTGCAACCTGGTGAGGTGAGTCAGTTTGGAAGGTAAGTAACTGAGACGCAGACACCAATCAAGATACAGCTCCTCCATGCCGGTCAACCTTCCGATTGTCTAAGGGAGCGTCTCTATACCCATCTCAAACAAATTGAGTACAGTTAGAGATTTTAGGTCTCCCACACTCTCCGGCAGCGCCTTCATTTTAGTCCCCCTCAGATCCAGAATTCGGATGCTGCGAAGGTTGTTGAAGAATTTCTTGTGAATACACTCCAACGGATTATTTAGTAACAGAAGGACCTCTAGCTCCATGGCATCCAGTTTGGCAGGTAGCTCCTTTAGATTTGTCGACATGACAGACAACCTTTGAGCGAAAAGACTAGTCCTTCTGCCTCTGCCTGGATCCTTAGTGTCAGAAATCCTTGCCCATTCACGAGGAAATCCAACCTTCATTTTCCGCTCTGCTTCATACAGGCACTCTCGCTTAGTGACGGCTTTTTCATGCTACATGACGTAGCGCGCCAGGTCGCAAAGAATATCGTCCACCATGCAGTACAATTCACCTCTTCCATTGCTTTTAAGCTCAATCAGTGAGCGGAAGACCAACACGCCCACCAGCCCACACGCTTCTAGCTTTGGATCATACTCAGACTTATGTCCCACAATCCCTTTCGCTTTCCACAATGGCAGCAAATCCTTGTATACGTCAACTTTCTAATCCTCTGGAAATGCAGTGAAGTAAAAAAAGCATTCCTGCAATCTTTGATCGATACTTCCAAGCTCATCGAAACTGAGTTTCAGTCGATTGAACAGCTGCGTTTTGTAACCTTTGTCTAAAACATCCGCGTTCCTCAGCTTCTGCAAAGACAATTTTCAAAAGCCCTGATCAGTTTTCCCTGCAAACACATTGCCAATCACTTTGAGCGTCAGCGAAAGCCCAGCACATTCGTCCATCACTTCCTTGGCTAGCTTTTCCAGCTCCGAGGGCACATGACAGGTCCCTCGAAATTCTTGCCAACAGAACAACTTCTAGCTGTTCTCTTCATCTAGCAACACAAATACGAGCTTTGTCACATGGTTTTTGTCCAACACCTCCTCTATGTGAGTGGTGACGAGGATTTTGCACCGCTCTTAAGGGGACCACAGATATCACCAAGCGTAGCACATCTTCTTTTCAAACATCGTCCAGGTCAACCAGCATGTTCTTCTTATCCTTGAGCTCATTACGTAGTTGTGTTGCCAAATCTTCTATAGGAATGTTCCCACGAATCTTTGAGGGACCAGTGATCTTCATTTTGAGGTCCAAGAAGAGGCTCCGCACCAACAAGTCTCTACAGACAATGAACCAGAAGCAGCCTCCTGTGAAGTGCGCTCGGATGGCGTCGTCATCGAAGACTCGCTGAGCAACAAGCGTCTTCTTGGCCCCGCTTGATGCCCAGAATCCTACCATGTACGTGTTCTGGTCCAGTAACAACTTATTTGTTTCTTCCACATTCCCATCTCCTCCAAACACCGTCTCGCTATCCACGCCGCGCGGCATGTCAGTGGAGGTGGAGGCTTTTGGCGAAGCTCTAGTTTGTAGGAAAGTCAAGTGGATGGCATTCACTTCACTTGTGATAGACGATATAGCAGCCAATTTATGATTATCATCCACAACTTGGATATTCGCAGCCAATTTATGATTATCATCCACAACTTGGATATTCGCAGCCAATTATCATCCACAACAAAGAATTCTCCAATTTATGATTATCATCCACAACTTGATACTTTTGAATTTTTAAGAGTTGAGAATCTTGCAGCAAAAGATATGACAAATCATTAATTACAAGGATCTTATTACTAGACGTAATAGGTGAATATCATTACTTTTGATGCTCTATTCATTGATACATTTTGCCATATTTATTTTCTTACTATTTAAAGTAATCATATTAATCCTAAAAAATTACTATAAACTTAGAAATTTAAGGAGATTATTATAATATAATAATAAAAATTCCTAAATTTAAATCTTAACATAGTTAACAAATTCTAGATACATGTTCATCTTGAAAATTTCAATAGAATGAAGATTGAAAAGAAAAAGTTATTCTAAATCTAAAAATTTCTTTTATATGAATGATTAAAATTATTAAGCATAAGTGACAAAACTTAGCAATATTACATCCACTACACATAGTAATTATTGGCTTTTCTACCTATGTTAAAAGCTCAATGTTATTTAAGGTACCAAACCTTAATCTTGTAATTTTTTTATCATAACAATGAGGTAAAAAATTACACTAATATTCTCAAAAGTTATTTTTAAATCTTGTATATTTAGAAAAAATTCAACTAAACTCTTACAGCCTTGTGTAAAACTAAATTCAGTAATTAAAAAAAAAAAAACACACACGCACACTCTTCTGGCAAGTAGTTTTAGGAAAAAATAAAAACTTCAAGTCCAGAATGGCAGTATACTGAAGTCTACAAATCATCAATTATATTTAAAAGTCTACAAAAACCCCTTTCGGTTAAGACCTTGGCGAAACAAGTTGAGAGTTGATTGCTTCCTAGGTTTCTCCGGTGTATTGCTCGGAGTTTCCTGTACCTCTGCCCTTGCTGCTTTTGGGTCCACTAATAATTTCTCAAAAGTGTGGGAAAATCCCGTGGCAATAATCGTTACATGGACTTCACCTGTGTATTTATCATCTACTACTGCTCCAAAAATAATGTTAGCTGAAGGATCAGCTAAGCCTGTTACAATCTGCACCAACAATACCAGAATTCTAGGTGAGTTGAGAGAGATCAGCGATTAACAAATTGCTTGATCAGTATCACCGTGAAAATGTCCCAGATTTTTCTCAAATACCAACTTCCCAGAAGTTCAACAAATTTGAAGTTCTGCAAAATATAATATTCGAAACATGCAAATTAGCATACTTTTGAAGCTTCTAGATAAGGACTGGGAAGCAAACCTGAGATACAGTATTCACTTCCTGCAGTGTGAGGTCCGAGCCACCAGTGATGTTGTAAACAATGCCAGTTGCTTGTTCAATAGAGCGTTCAATAAGGGGAGCTGAGGCAGCCTGAATTGCAGCTTCTTCAGCACGGTTTTTGCCACTAGATGAACCAACACCAAGCATAGCTGTGCCTGAATTACTCATTACAGCTCTGACATCTGCAAAATCAACATTCACCAGACCTGGCGTCTGGATCCGCCAAAGTGCAGCGTCTCAGAGTATGATCTCATCAACAACACTAAGATAAAATATAACCTTTCCACCAAAGTACACAGAAGAAAAACAAAAAAAGACTAAGTGTTCTTATTTCACCACTTCGTCGATGAGAGTTCCATACTCTTCTGGACCTAATGCATTCACTGTGCAGACTACTTCCAAGCAAGGGCACTAGAAGTAAGAGAGCATTCGAATTGTAATTCATCCAGACTAACAACTGAACGACTTACAGTGATGATGTCTGAAATGCCTTGAACTCCCTGACGTAAAACATCGTCGGCTAAAGAAAATGCTTCTTGAAGAGGAGTTTTATCTCCAGAGACATCAAGTAGACGGTCATTGGGGATGACAATGAGACTGTCCACAGACTTCCGTAAATTCTCTATTGCCTCCACTGCCTGCACCACTACCATACGATCAGGTTTCTGTTCTTTATGTTAGTCACCGTGTAATTATAGAAATGCGGTTAAGTATAGGCTTTTAATCGTCTTGTCAAACATAACCTGCTGGCTTCTCCGACGGCCCTCAAACGTAAACGGATACGTAACAACACCGACAGTGAGTTGCCCTGCCTCTTTGGCCACACGAGCTACAACCGGGGCAGCACCAGACCCCGTCCCACCACCCATGCCCGCAGTAATGAAGACAAGATCAGCATCTACCACTGCCTCTGCGATGATATCTATTGATTCCTCTGCTGCCTGTTCTCCGAGAAATGGCTTACCACCAGTACCTGTCAAAATGATACGAAATTGAAAATCGAAGTCACATGATAACCGAAATTGGAGCAATAAAACAGCCGACACAGTAGTCGACATCCCTGTCGAACGGGTACGTAGACAAGTATAGACTTGTAAAAGCCACATTAAGCCCAAGCTCGTCTAGATATTAGGCAAATCAAAGAGGTTACAAGTGTTCAACTTGGGAGCTACCTAGTCCTCGGGTCAAAGCTTCGCCAATCTGAACGCGATGTTGGGCTTGTGATTTTTGCAAAGCTTGAACATCTGTGTTGATAGCCCAAAAATCGACACCCTGCAGGACATAGGAATGGAATAACAATCAGAGTTCTCTGCAACCTCATGGTTCTTAGAACATGCACATGCGTGTGATGTAAAGGCAAACGAGCATTCCAACTATTCATTCCTCCAAATCGGTGGCACTAGTCATAGTGTTAACACCTGCGGCCTAGAAAAAACATCACAAAGCATGTTGGACTGGCCGAAATACTAAAAGAAGGTTTCGTACTTTCGGTGGGTGAGGCTTAGAGTGTTGGGATGAAGCGGCATTCATATAACTTGTAACGCTACGTAACTGAGTGCTACTTTAACCACAATCTAAGACTTGGAGCGTCAGGCACAATAGAATATAAACAAAATGCTTGATGAAGCGAAATCCATTTGCGTTCAATGCACAAAAGTGGTCACACTGACGCCAAAACATAGAATGCATTACAATGATGACCATGCAACCTAACACTGCACCTCGAGAGAACCTGGAAATCATTCAAGCTAGTGGACAAGGCTTGAATTCCTATAACCTAATATGTTTTGACTGATGCCAGATTTTCGTCGACTGTTCAGGTTAACCCGACTCTTCAATAGGACGTTTCCGCTAGAGCACGTATTAGAGATGACATTCAAGTGTTCAAAGACTATGTCCATGGACGATGCATCATCTTATTCGCGGCCCGTGCCAACTACCGCCATCCACAATCTAAATGCATAATCCTTACCCGGCATTCAAATCGATACAAAATCTAGAATCAGTAAGAATTGCACAGCACGATTACATGCGTTTTATTTTTTTAAGAATTAAAAACTTTGTTGAGCCTTAAATTGGTCCCTTCCATCTGAAACCTGAAGGTCTTTCGACTTCTTAGTGCCTACCTCGAGGAATGGCCTGAGGCTTCAGCTGAGACGTAATCGACTGAATTGCCGCGAGAGAGAAAAGGCAAGGTGGGAGGTTCAAAAATCTGGGAGTCAACATTGCCATAATCCACTCCTGAACCCCACAATCTTGCATTTTTTTCTGATCGAATCCGCAAATACATTAACCTAAGCTTGAACAACGAGTCTTGCGACGCAGGAGAGGTGCGAAATGTCGCGATAATTCCACGAATGCCGAAGGATCAAGGAAAACGGCGAAAACCTTTTGAAAAGTTATTTGGGTACTAGCAACAAACCTGAATACCGCTCCCAATCATGCGGTTCACGGCATTGTTGCCACCACCGCCCACACCAATGACCTTGATCTTGGCGCCACTCAAGTTGGCCATCACCACAGTCCTTCCAGCGGCACGCCCCTCCCACCCCAAACTCCATCCCCGCTTCTGTAGATGCACAAGTGGCTTCCCAGCCCCGAAAAATTGGCTCTTACCGAGCCTACTCTCCGCTCCCAACCAACGGCACCGGCTCGTCACCCTCACCGCGACAGAGCCCATGGGATACACAGACCGTGCCGACGCCGGGCACAGCGAACCTGAGACAGAGGACGGGCTCGGGCTCAACCTCAACCTCGCCGTAGAGCCCATCCTGTTGTAAACTTCCCCGCGCGCGAGCTCAAAGTACTGCAAAGGCTACGCAACACGGCGACCTCACAAGCAGTCGCGAATTCACCGAAAGATAACACCCCCTTTTCCCTTCCGAATTGCGAAAAATTGCCCACACCAATTACAGAGATTATGTTTGGGGCATCTCTCGGGGCCAGGGCGAGTCGAAACGAATCGAGAGGAATCCAACGTCACAAGTGGAATGGCAGGTAGGCGCAGATCCTCCTCCTTGCGCCTCCTCCGCCGCACTTGTGACCACCAACACTCACTCACTCACTCACTCTCACTCACTCACTCCGCAAGCTGGGACCCCCCCCCCCCGCGGAGCGGGTGGATGCACTCGGCCCGGGCACCGGAGCGAAGAGGGTACCCACCCGAGGTTTCGGCGGGGCGGAGATGGAGTTCCCCAACCCATGCGTTCCCTCGAGCTGTTCCCACAAGCAGCGAGTTGTTCCCCTGTTCCCATGTTCCCCTGACTGTGTAATTTGTTCCATTCCAACCCCATTCGTTCATCACTTGCAGCCATTCATTATTTCTTGAATAATTGATTAATTAATGACCAGCCCTTCCTTCCCGTTATTACTATTGAGCAGTCCACCAGGTGGGAACCCAGCTTGCACTTTGACCCCCTCCCCTCCCCCCCCCTTTTTTTTTTTTTTTTTTTTTTTTTACATACCTCATGGATCCGTCATCCATTAAGAATTTAGGGTTTCAAAAATAAAATAAAAATAAAGACAAAAAAGTATAAATTTATTTTTGAAAAATTAGACAAGGTTAGGACTTTAAGATTTATTAAAAATATTTAATATAGAAAATTTAAATAGGTTTTTATTCACCAAATACCAAGTATTAGTTAGATACAAGTCTCTTTGCAATGTTTTTGTCTTTTCTCAAGTTGCTAGAAGATTTTTCTTTTTTCTTTTTCTTTTTTACAAAAATATCAAGGATTTTTTTTTTTTTTTTTTTTTTTGTGCTTAAGAGTATAGAGGCGAAATTTCAAATTTCATGGCTTGTGATTTTTTGAAATTAAAAAATATTTCTTAGTTAGTTTCATATCTAAGAAAATTAATTAAGTGGGCTTAAGAGGAGAAGTTGTTTCTAAGAACATTTATTAAAATTTCTAAAAATACAAATATTTAGAAAATAAATTAATAAAAATATAATTTTTTATATTTATAATCATAGTAAAAAATAATAATTCGATCTATGTCATGACTATTTCTCTCTTTTTGCTTTCTTCCAATATCAAAACTTCCAAAAGATAACTTTTCTTTATGAAACAAAGAACCTTCTTAAAGCTTTTAAACCATAGCCTTTTAAGGCCCCTATAAGTTTGGTAAAAGATGCCTTGTGGATTTCAATACTTTGGCATTCTATGCAAGCCTTGTTTAAAACAAATTTCTTGTAAATAAATTTGACTGATATTTTTTTTTTTTTTTTTTCCATCTATAATTTTTGCAAGTAGAAATAGAACACTATAGTTTATTTGCTAAAAATTTATCATGCTTACAGTTAAGAATCTAAGCTGTGATAAGAAAGCTCTTGAACTTATATTTAGAAGGATATCTTTTATATGGATTTTTTTTTTATAGATCTTCATTTAAATCAAAGACTTTGATCTATCTAAAATCTTTAACTTTTCCAATTGCTTTGTTTATCCACAAGCCTACAAATAATAAGCCCAAGTGAGAATATTAATCAATATATGGCATATATATTTATTAAGATTCAAGACCTTGGTAAACTTGTTTGAGGCTAGAAAAAAATCTCATTGTTATATAAAACCATATGATGATTTTGCAACATCCGTTGCAATTAGAGGATTGCATTATGTTTAAAGAAGTTAAAATATTATTGATCAAGAGATGAAGTATACAAAGAATTCAGTATTCTTATACGTAGTTAGTGTTCTAAGTATAAGTACATAATCTATTCAACCAATCATGTGACTTCAATATTCTATTGACAAAGGATGAAAAGATATATGACAAGAGAGAATTTTATTATCTCCTGTTAAGGATTATCAAGGATATAAATCCTAAGAGAAATGGATTCAGGTTTTCATTTGTTTTGTTTTCATTTTCTTGTTTTAAGGAGTACCTTTCTTGAATCTTGTGTACAAAGCCTTTGCTAATACATGACTTTTGTTTATTTTGTTTGTATTTGCAGCATGCATTTCTTCCAAATCCCTTGTATTTTGTTTTCTTTTTTCTTTTTTTTCTTTTTATTGTCTTCATTTTATGTAATTGTTTGTACAGGTTAATGCTTTATTCCTAATGCTATAGTTTGTGACATTATCTTTGAGGGAAATTTGCAAGATTATTGTTAATATAATTGAGAAAACGCTTATTTGTTGACAAGTGGAGGGTCTTGACTTTCATTAAGAAGGTAAGAAAAATTTTAAAATCCTAGTTTGGTAAAAAAATTGAGTAAAAACTTAATATCAAAAAATTGACATATCTTTAATGGTTTTTGTTTATTGTATAACTAAAGGTGTATTTTGGACATTGACAAGAAAGAGGTTGCATTTAAAGAAGGATGTTGTTAAAAGAGACAAAATTTATCTTGTAGACAGAAATAAATACTATAAGTGCAATATTGATTTTTATGATCAGTATATAGCTTTAGAGATTGGAATCAAAAAGTTTTTATAGTTAGAAAGGAATTAATTCATGATGTATATAATAGTTGGAGTACCTTTAAGGAGGTGGTAAAAAGTTATTTTAAAGCATAGTTTAGAAGTTTTAAATCTTATAGAAAGGTTGTAGAGTTTGTAGAAATTGTAATTTGAGTATTATCAAAGAATTTGAGTAGATCCAAAGTTGTGCAATGCTATTCAAACTTATTTTGAGGCAATGCTTTTGTAAAAATATCTACAGGTTGTGATCTTATATGTATGTAATGCAAAGTTATGTTTCTTAAATTGCCTATTTATTTTAATAAAGTTGTGATGCATCTTGATGTGCTTTATTTTTGCATAGAACACATGGTTATTAATCAGCTTGATTACTCATTGATTATTGCACAATAAAATAAATTTGTCTTGAATTTCTCATATGAGATTTTTGTTGTTCTTTTTGAGTAAAAGTAAGAAGGATGAAGATTTTATGGCTTCAATTTCCATAAGTAAATACTTCAATTAAATAGCTTCAGTAATCTTAGTTGATAAACTCATGTATATAGATTGAATAGAGGATTTAACTATTGTTTGTTGACTTTTATTTTTCTATATAATTCCTACTTCAACTAGAATGAAACACTAAATTTATATAGATCTATGTATTTTAGGGCATGATGCCTAGTTGGCATAAGAATAATCTTATATTTTGTTGCTTAGGTTTGATTTATAAAAAAGACCAAATTCAAAAGTTGATTAAATATATCTAAATATATGTTTAACAACTTTTAAGTTTGTTATTTGTAATTTTGACATATATCATAAGACATTGCTAATTGCAAACAAAATATTTAGTCATGTCATTGTGAGAAAGATGAGATTTCTAATCATGCAACAATATTCATAGAGGTCCACAAATAGAGCTTTCATATTAGTAAAGAATATTAAATCAAAAGATAGAGGTATATATTTATCTTGTGAACTTTGCATCCCAAATCCTTATATTGTTTTTATATCATATTGTGTTTGGAATAGAAATAAGCCTATTGAGAGATGTGAATTCTATATTTAAATATTTGTTAATAAAATTTAGATTGTTTATATCAAATTTTGTCCATGGTTGTTGCTTTATCCAAGATATTATATTGTTGTCTCCTTTAGTTAAGAAGTAATCATCAACATAAGCTATGAGGATTTTTTTTTGTTATTACCAATACCAATATAATAGAGATTATGATTATTGACACTTTTAGTCATGCCTAGACTCTTTAGACAAGTATTTAACCTCTTATAACATATTCTTCGGTTTTGGCAAAGATTATAAAAGAATTTCTTGAGTTTGCATAGATAATGTGTACAGCCAATTTCAATGAAGCTAAGAAGCTACTCTATATAGACTTCATCAATGAAGATGTCTTATAAGAAAGTTATCTTGATATCTAAATGATATAAAAGGTGATTTTTTAGGACAGTTTTGGCTGCTAATGATCTAATCATGGACCATTTGATTACATGAGCAAAGACTCCATATTCTTGTACAAATCCTCATGCTATAAGAAGGGCCTTCTTCGTTGGCAATTGATTGCTGATGCTAGGTTTCATTTTAAAGTCCCATTTCAAGTTTATTGTATGTTTTTTTTGGAGCAATGGTACAAGGATTCAAGTACCATTTTTAGCAATAAATAAGAGTTTATCTTACATAGCATTAAAAAAATCTTTATTGGCAAGTATTTTTGTTAGAATTACCTCGTTGTTGTTGTCATCGATCAAATATTGAACAAGATAGTTATCCATGTCTTTTGATAGTCTTTTAACTTAATATTTTGTCTTTTAATTTGTATTGAGTGTTGACAGAAGAGTATGGGTTGTTTTGAGCGTAGCAAGTTGTATGTTGAGTCATGACTATAGTTGATAAATCTTGAGAGATGGTTGGTGAAGATGGAGTGTTAATAATATTTTTGAAAAAATTATCTAATTTTAAAGTTGTAATTTGTTTTTTATCATCATAGCATGTGATGTTTGGTTCTTAATTAAGGAATAAGCAAAAGATGTGATGATTTGAAGATATTGGAGTATAGTGGGTAGAATTTTTACATTGTCTTCATTAAAGTGAATATCACTTGAAATAATGATCTTATTTGTATTGAAGTTAAAACATCTATAGGCTTTAGAATTATTTTCATAATTAACTAATATAGATTTTTGAGCTTTAGTATCTAATTTATTTTTAATTGATAAGTGATAGTAGGCTGCACATCCAAACACTCATAGGTGAGAGAAATTAGATTTTTGACCTAAGAACAATTGTAGTGGATTTGATCTATATTAGGTTCAATAAGGAATTCAATTGGAGATATATTTTGTTGTATGAACTATTTCTTTCCATAAGTAAGATGGTATATTTTATACTAAACAAGAAAGTTTACATTATTTTATATAAATATCTATTTTTTCTTTCAAAAATTCCGTTTTATTGAAGAATCTATGTTGTAATCAATTGTCATCATATGTCATGTTAAGACTAAAAAGAGGTAAATTCTCTCGACATAAATTCCCCTCCACAATCACTTCTTAGACATGATAGTTTGTAATTAATTTCCTTCTTAAGTATAGTTTTGAATTTTCTTGAATGTTTCAAATATTTCATTCTTATAAGTGAAAGAGTGGATACAAAATTGCCTTGAGAAGTCATCAATAAAAGTTAAGAAGTATCAAGAGGTAGAAAAAGATGTTATAGGTAATTGACCACATAAATTTTGAATGTACTGACTAGAATGGACTTGCTTGTGGGAGTCAAATTGGATTGTGGAATTGAATGTCAATGGTATTTTCCGATTTTATGAAGCTTCAGAAGATGTTTTGATAAGAGGTAAGATGGATATTTTAGTGACCATTTCTTTGGATAATAAGTTGTGAAGAGATTGGAAATTGGGATGAACAGTTCTCTTATGCCATAGTTTTATAGTTTCTAGATTGGAGTGATTAATGGTGTTGATAGAAAAGTCTTATAAAGTTCTTGTTGGTTTGATATTGTTCAAAGTATAAAGATTATTGTTCAAAGTATAAAGATTATTATATTTATAAGGATGAGATGTGTTGAATATGCAACAACCTTTTAGACTAAAGATTGTATAATAAGCAAAGTCTATTAGTTTGCCAACTGAAAATAAATTCTTGATCATGCACATACATAAAGAACATGATTCAAGTGTTTATTATTTTCAAGGTGTGAAGTTCTTTAGATCGTAAGTTATATCACGTTTGTACATATATTTTACTAATATAAGTTTTCTATTAGTAGTAGTTATAGTAGATAGATAGGTAGATTTGATGTTAGTCAATAAGTTTAGATTGTCAGTTATGTGAGTGCTTGCTCTAGAATCTAACATCCAATTAGAAAGTTCTTGTAAGGTTTTTGTTGCACAAACTTCAAGTACTTTAGGAAGTACTGCTTCTTTAAAAGATGTGTGAAGTGGAGGTACCTTAATAATGTTTGTGGAATGGTTTGTGTGCCATTGAGGAGAATTTGATCCAATTTTGGCTTTCAATTTGCAAACCTTAATGTCGAGATGCTTGAGTTTGTACTTCTTTGCTTAGTGAAATGGGCTTCTACATTCATTGGAGGTACCTTTTTCAAATCTGACTTGTAAATTTCTACCATAGTATTGAGAATACTAAGATATAGATTCTTAGTGATGATAATTTTTATTGGAGTTAAATAAGCAACTGCATTTTGAATTAAAGCATCTTCTTATATAGTTTCAATTGTTACAAAAGTCAAGTCTAGAGATATACAAGGCTTTGTATTGAGTTGATAAGGCTTCTTCAACTTCACTTCTTTCACTTTTTCTAGTTTTGACATCTTCTTGTAGGAGGAGATTCTCTAGTTCATTGAATGTGGGAGTGAATTCCCTTCTATATATCATTTGGCTTGAAGGTAAGCTAGTCAAACCTCTTTTAATCAATTCTTCATCTTATATTAGTACTCCAATATTTGCAAGTTGTCTAGTTTGGTTGTTGATAGGTATGAGTTGTTCAATGTCTTCTTTATTTAGCATTCTAATATTGTATAATAGTTGGGATTTGAGAAAAAGTCTCCGATTCATGAAGTTGGATTGATACAAGTCTCTCAACTTAGTCTAGATTTTTCCAGGATCTAATGTATGCATGATATGAGGGAGAATGGAATCTTTTATCGTTGAATATTATAACAGGTGCCACTTCCATCAAACAAGAACTTTCTGCTGAACAAAGAGAATGTTTGTCGATAATGGAATTTCTTCATGAATAAAAGACACGAAATATCAAGATATACTAAATGTCAAGTACGTAATGCTTTATGAAAAAAGATATGACATTGAATAAACCAACACAGCTGAATTGCTCAATCACAGCAGAACCTGAGGCCCGTTTCACCATTAAAAAATCAGGAATCTAACGACCAAAGTCCTCATCTCATTGGAAGATCTGAGTATATGAGACTGGTAAGCTACAAATGATCACTCATCTATTTTGAAATGAGCATGGTACTGCAATTTTCTTTCTCAACAACTTTGGTCGATGGATATGGAAAAGAAGAATATCTATACAGCGACAATAACTCATGTGAACTCTCATCTAACAAAGCTTTTATCGGTTCTACATTTCAGAAACGTAAATAAGAAATGCCGGTATGAATATATGAAAACAAGGAAACGTATCTACGAGAAATTAATTAATTGACGAGGAGTTTACAAAGGTTTACAAACTGTGGGATGTCAGCCACTGCTTGCACAAATCTTCCACTGCCAGAGAACCCGTCTGCCGTGCCTGTTCCAAACAAAGTACACATAAATTAACGTAGATCATGAACATCCGAATAATCGTAAGCAATGTCGTTCATGTCAAGGAACAGGACCACTGATGAGATATTCCGGTCCGCAGCCTACAGTGTGAATAGCATTGCAGTTCAACACCATAAAAGACGCCTGCTACTAACATATGATAAGTACGTATTCTTTTGATGAGGTAAAAATCAAGTATGATCCGACATGTTACCACATGAGCGACATATTGCACGTCTGATATGTTTTCACTGCGTGATGCTATTTGAAATGCACTCTTCAAGCGCCCACAGATAACGCAAGCCAACACTTTTCTGTTTCACAATAGAAATGGAAAATAAAAGCTTGGTCAAATCGAGTACACAAGCAACATATTTTAAGGTTTTACCAGAAACAACCTAAATGCCAAGGCATCCAGTCTGGCATGACAAAGTTGTAAGAAGATGCACCTGTGATTACTTGAAAGCTTATCAATCAAACCAGTTGGTCGTTCTCTATGACGGTTGGCATAGACATTAATTGCAGCACCCAACACCTGTCCCAGAATAATATTAGTAAGTGCTTGGTTCAGAAAAGAAAAAAAGAAAAAAAGAAAAGAAAAATATGGCACATGCAAAGTAATGGGTCTAGATGGGATGCTGGTCTGGAAAACAGGAGAAAGTGCGAAATTTTCTGATACTAATATACAGCTTTTGCTGGAAAAAATCCAGTGAAAGAGAATCAAGATATTCCAGCACACCTGGTCCCAATCGTCATCCTCAATGGTGCCTTTAATGTTCCGCAGCAGCTCTGCCAGCTGATTGCTCTTCTTCCTTTCTGCCAAGGAGGCAGCTACACCCGCATAGATGTGCACAGCTGCCATAATTGAATGGAAGAATTGAAGTAAGATTTTGTGAAAGCACATGAAGCAAAAGAAAGCAATCAGCAAGAGATTAGTTTGAAATATGTTCGGATCTAAAACAGAGATGTGCTTGAAACCAATTCATAACATCGACATTAACAATGGATATGACTACAAGACAAACACGATTCTAAAACATCTGTTCGAAACAGCCGGCCATCAAATGTAATAAAACTTGAATATCGTCGTTTCTGTACCAGTAAGGTTAAATTCATATATGATTTGGAACGCCAAATCAAAATTCTTTTCCACAAGCTTCTCAGCAACTTCACATCTCCGCCTGTACCAACAAACCACATGTTAAGGAGCTATGATCTAATCTCAAAAACCTTGACTTATTGCCTCGACAAATGAAGATTTCCACGCCTAGAAACACTTCGTAAGACCTAAAAAGCAACTCATATTATCACGAAGTAGACAGGAAAAACGAGAATTCATACGCGTTTAAATGACAAATATAAGTGTGTAATCTCAGAAGAAAATTGGAATGAAAGACATAGAATCAACTAGTCTGAACTGAAATCTTACTTGACAGTATCTGCATCGTTTGGGTTCCCAAACAGTGAGTGCTTCCACGGTGGCCCCTCAGAGTCACCAAATGTGCGGACTACCTCAATCTTAGATTTCAATATCAGACAATAAACAGGAATCAGCAGCCAGTTTCCAACTTACAGCACTTACATACAATATATGATATTCTACATAATTGAAAAGAACCTAAAACTAATGCCATCTCCTGTGGATAGATGAAAGCAATCTAATGGGCAATTATTTTTCGATTTTTTTAATGTGGCTTCCGAGGTGCAATATCAGAAGGTATGAATTAGCATCAATCTTGAGGCGCAGATACATGAGAAGTAAATGAATATACTGCTCAATGACCGCGACCACTCATCTTTGATTCAGTGGGTGTTTACCGGGGATCTGATTCAATACTTTGTCAAATATACAATCATCACTCTTACTTGTATGGCAACTCGAGCTGTGAACTTGATTAGCTCCTCTTCAGTGAGTTTCTGCGAAGGAAGTTTTCCTCGAGGTGCTTTTGTGGCACCTTTTGCTGTCTCTCCCAATTGCTGTCGTGCCAATAGACCTTCATCAAAATGTACCTGCCATGAATTTAACAAGAACAAAATTAGAATTGGTGAAGTTCCAAAGTCCAGAAAGCGTACATAATACTGTTATTTGAAGGTATCACTCTAAGATGAACACGGATTTAGAAGAAGTGAAATGATAGCAGATGCCGCAGCTTAAGACCTAGTTTACCACCCATCTCTTCAAGTTTCTCAGATAAAAAATACCTTTGCGTGTTCTAAATGACGCAAGGCTTGTTCTTGATTGGGTGAGTTCAAAAAGAGCTGGATACAGCACAACCCAGCAGCCACGTAGTCTTTTTTCAGAACCTGCACAATACAACAGTTAGCTTATAAAGCACATCTTTAAATAATGTGGTTAGAAATGCTAATAAGAGACATTCATCGAAATTGCCTAAATTTAGATTAGGTAGAAGATAACATCAACTTCGCTGCCATGATGCATCATCAGTGGAAAGAGCGAACGAGTTTTAAGATCACCTGAAACCGGTACAGATGATTGAAGTGTCGATGATTTTCAAAGAAATTACAGATCTTCGTAAGAGCTTGAGCCGTATGTTGAGCTACTGGTGAATCTTGGTTATTAGATTCAATGATTCGGGCAGCAATAACCCTTTCCAATGTTAGAACAACTCCATAAGCAACACAGTGCTCACAAAGATCATCCAATGAGCCGTAGTCAGTGGCCAGAGGGTCAGGCCTATTAGGAGAAGATGAAGGAGTCTGAGATTGGAAGGAAGTTGGAAGTGGAGGCGGTGGGACGCTATCAAAAGGAAAGAAAAGGTTGCAGGCTTCAGTATAACGGCAGTGTTGAAACATAAATGACAAAAGATCCTGGCGACAATGCTGTCATCAAACACACATACATCATCATTGTCAGTTCTATTTTGGAGATCATGTCTATACAATTAGTTTAAAACAAGAAGACTTCTTCCACGAATTCATGCAGCTTGACAGCATACGTTAACTTTTAGATTGTGAAGAACGCTCAGCAATGATGAACATGATGGTCTAAAAACAAAAATGCTTGTGCAATACATGTGACAATGCTTGGAACAGTCGAATATCTGACCTCCTGCAGGTAATGAACACACTCTTCATAGCGAGTTTCATCAAGATGGCTGCGTGGGGGTGAGTCATCTCCATTGATCTGTGGATTGGTGGTTTGATGGCTGTCTGCAGAATCTTCTGATGATCGACGAGACCTATCAGGTTTGTTGAATGAGGGAACATATAACACATTCAGATAAGAATCAGCTGAGAGTGAGTCATCTGAAGAAGTTGATACACTTCTAGCCATGTGTGCGTACCTGCAACCACACCATTTCCAATATCCATAAGTAAGCTATCAACCAAACTATCATAATTGAGCGTAGGATTAGGAACTTAGGGCAAATCATAACACCCAGCCTCAGCATAATATATCACATCATATAACAAGACACCGTTGGCAGTAAGGACAGCAGGAGTATAGAGCTACTTACAGTGAGCGGGCACCATACAAATCTGCTGGCGGTCCAGCTTCCATAGCCATAATGATTCTTCGCACCACTATAGCTGGGTCTCCAGTATGTAACTGCAAGCAACGCCTGAAAGCCATAAAGAAGTATGTGATCAGATATCAATATTCAACGGCTGCACAAGCATCTGATCCCAACAAACAACGCAGATAAACCTAAGAAGCGGGAACTCTTGAAGGTATGTTGCAAAATATTCTGAAGTTGGACAGAATGTAACTCTAGAATACACTTCATTCAAATAATACTACAGTGCAGGAGCTTTACTCACTTGAACTTTACCCTTGCTTGAGCGTAGTGCTCAATACGAAGGAGCGCGTAACCCCATGCTTCCCAAACTAGGCACGGATTAATCTGTATCATTGAAAGGTTGGTCAAATATTCATTATGTGAAGACAGAAAATAGTTTTGGCGATAATAGCTATCAAATAATTTCCTCATACTTCCACTCCATGGTAAAGTGCTATGTACCTTGCATTTAGTGCACATAAAGATAGCCAAGTTGTAGCGTTCATCCGCAATAAGCCGACCCCGCAGCTGTTCGGCAGCAATGTCGTCGATCAAGTCATCCAAAGAAGCTGGAACATAATTACCAAACAGAGTCTGCAAAAGCTCCACCCGATTAAGCCAAATTTCTGCCTGCTCAAGAACGTCAGAAAGGTTAATTGCTTCACTGGGGTCTTTTTTAGGAGCTTCCTTTGAACTATCCGTGTTATTTCCAGAGGTTGCTGTAGATGTTGTTGCTGTGTCTCCTAATTCCGAAGGCTCACTGCAGTCACCGTCTCCAGTTCTGGGGCTGTTTGGTGGCTTATCCGACTTTCCAGTCAGTTTCCTTAGTTGGCCTATCGCATATTGCAGAGCCTACATACAAAAAAGACAAACAAACGTATAAACGAAGATACTTGGATACTAAAAAGAGTTGACAGTAAAGAACATTCTTAGATTGAGGGATCCTTAACTAATCGACGGAAACGCATTTATTTTAAAATGCACATCCGGCATCATATTTCAGAGTACCTACAAATCAATTAATATATCCATAGAGATCGAAAGCGATCGAAGATTCTCGTTCATGTGTACGAAACCCTAGGCTGGTGTCAGCATTGAAGAACAAGACATAATAGTAATTCTTGTAGTGCTAAATGCAGTTTTCCAGTCTTGCTTGTTTGTAACTCAGGAATGTGGCAAAAATCCATATAAGTGCAGTCGAATCAAGGACATCACTAGAACCATACCTGGACAAATGCATCTGCAGCGTGAAAACCTCGCTCTGCAGATTCGTTGAAAGTAGCACGAGGTAGCTGCTCAGAAGAGAGATGTCGTTTTATTTGGACAATACAAATATCAACAGCTGCTTTGGCTGCCACCGCCTCTGAAGAGCACAACTCAAGGAGCGCCTGAATAGAGAAATCACCTCAAGCTTAGAAAATCTGAGACTCTAGACTGATTTTTTGTCTAGTGCTTACAATGATCATGACAATGAACTGAGTAGAAAGGTCAGCTTATACCTTGAAAAGAATGCAGCTAGGTGCACTTTCGTATCGATGCGAGTTACGAACAGCATCATCCTTTATTTGGTCCCCTGTCAGAACCCATTCCTCGGTAATGGTCATAGGAGCTGGGCGTTCATAACCCTCAAGGGCAGTAAGCCCAGTAGGTGTACGATCCTCAGGAACACCAGCCAAGGCTTCCCATGCAGCCTTATGAGAAGGTGGAAGCATTCCGGCTATTTTCCTCTTGCGACTACTGTTATCTTGATTGGAGATCCTATTTCCAGTGTCTCTCTGTGTCCAAGAAAATGCTCGTCTCTGCAGCGTGTTGAGTCCACGATTGAAGTTGGACCCAGAAGTGGGAGTCGAAGAACGAGTGAGTGGTTTAGCAGCAGTTATGGTGGACATTGAGCTTCGACGTTCAAGAGGAGTACTGCTAACAGTCAAAGCTTTTGTAGCGTAGATTTTGACCAGCTCATCGTCTTTGAGGGATGGAAATGCTTGAAGAAGCTGGAGAAAGAGCATACCACTACGTTATAAATAAAAATAACAATTTAAAAAATAAATAAATAAATAAAAACCCAAGTAAACATTTGGTGAAAAGCATCACCCTGAAGGACACAAAACGCGTTACCAAACTATCTCTATGAAAGGTATCGAACGATTTCCCTGTAAGCAAGATGAGTTACACACTTGAGAGGCAGCTCGTAGTTGTTTCCCCATAAGCAGAGTCTCAAGGATGAGTCGTGGATGCTCATGTAAGGCAGAGCAACGTTGTTGCCATGGTAGTGGCAAAGCTCCAAGCATTCGCAAGCCTAAGGCTAAACGATCCAGTCTTGCATGTTCTTCCTCTGATAGGCTTCCCACTCGCCGCTTCAAAAAGAAATGTACCTGCATGAACAAAATGATTTCAGGAAACTCAACATGAACAGTTTTTTTTGGACATGCGAAATGCATAAGAACCCCAATTATTCTCTGGACACAAACCCCGGCGCAGCATGGCTGACGGAAGGTAGACACAACATTTCCGTTGTGTTCAATGCTCAGGTTAAAGTAATTGAATCACCTGCAAGCCAAAATGATTAGCTATTCAACAACAATCATGCGCCCAAAATTAGTACGATGTTTAATACCACAATGTCACTTGGGCTTGGATGATATTTCCTCTGCATTATTGACAACAAGCATATCCGCTGTCCTCAAGACCTCCTGAAGCTTTCATTCTTAATAAGTGCAAGGTATTATATACAGGATTTGTATGTTTCTCGGACATTAAAAAAATGTAGGAGAGATACAGAAACGAAATCATCCACTCCATGGTTGCGATATCCTTGCTCAAAATCAAAGAACTGAATCCCCATCCACCAGACAAATACGTACTCACCAACAATTGCTTCGACTGAAGATTTGGCAAAAGCTCCATTGCTGCCATGGCGACTGGCAATGCATCCTCAGGATTATGCAGGGAATTCAAAAAGCGTAAACCGCCAGCAGGACCACCTCCGCTGATGGGGTCGGTAGTCAGCAACTTCACTAATTGGCGACCTTGTAGTTCTCTCCGCAAATCATTGGACAATTTGAAGGACTCTGCAACATCAAGTGCTGCCGAGACGGCACCTTTCCCAGCCAGACGAAGTGCCAGTCCTTCAGGATCACTTTGACAAAGTGCTTCAACCTGCACAACCGGTGCATTAGTCCTTCGGAAAGAGCCATCTTACAAGCACTTCACAGCACTAGAGATCAAGGTAAAATGCCACGAAAATTCATACAGATCCAGCTAGAAGCTCCTTCTAAATCACGAACTGAGAGGTGACCATTACTCTCCGAACTGATGAGATAATGACCAAGAAACAGGGACTTGTGTCAGCACTTTAATTAGAACTTTGGAGGTTAGTCTCAGGCTTTCAGACACGTCATAATCAGATAGTTTGAGAAGTTCAGCAGCGGATTAACAGACCTTGTCCTTCGGTGATAAATTCACGGTTGGGTTTTCACCCAGCCAACCCTAGAGCTGGCACAGTATGTCAAAGAAGGTGAAAAAAAAAAAAAAAAAAAAAAAAAAACTAGGTTTTAGCTTATAGAAGTTTAAAGAACAGTACCTCTTGCCACTGGGTAAATCGGTTGTCAGCTCGTTGAATCCGACCATACTGCTGAAGAGTATCTCTTTTCTTGACTACCTATATTTATTGATGTGTTCAGACAAGAATTCAATAAGCTTAGAAAATACGAACAATTATCAAAACTACTTGAAATCAAGAGTAAACAAAAGCCTTATCTGCACGAGTAAAAACCTAAACCTTCGTACGTAAGGGAAAAAATATGAAAGACAACTGGACTCTGAGATCCAGTACGATTGAGGCTAAAAGCAGCAGACCTCAAGGTACAGAGGATCATCGGTTGGCAAATGACAGCTGCACATGGTGAGGACATCAATAGCCGCATCAAGATCCCATCTCTGTAAATACCTGCAAAATCATCCCAATCAGTGGAAAGTAGGAATATTTCTTAAAGCCAAAATGCTAAAGATAAAGAATGCACACCTAACAATAAAAATATCAAGTCAATCTTAAAACTGAAGAATACAACTTATCATCCGGCAAATGACTCACTTTAAGGCAAGGGTCGCAGCCAGTGTCTTGTTCCGAAGACGAATACAGTATTGCCAGCTGCTGTTGTAGGGGTGACTGCTATTATTTCCTTGCCATTGATTTCCAGATTCTGATCCAGTTTCCTCCCCTTTCTCAATCAACAACTGTAACAACTCGTCTGGAGCGCCATCTCGCAACCATCTGTCGGAGACAGATAGTGCTTCCACCAGTTTTCCTTCCTCCATCAATCTGCCACATAACAAGCCAGAGAAGCTTTTCAATATTCAACACAGTAGAGAAATCGGATTCTAACAAGGAACGTTCACTTCTTATTTGCATGCCAATGGCATCCATAAAGACACCAATCTAATGTTCCTGACATGTTGCTGCCGTTCATACCATTCTCATACGAACCCTTCGTATTAAAATTGATCCTCACTCAGTTCCCCGTCTTTCACGTCTTAATAACAATTGAATATGACAACGAGAACATTAAACACCACAGGAATGTTCTTCTTACTTGGAAAAATAGTAATAATTGCATTTCGTTGGATATAATTAAACAAGATAAACACCTAACTTCAGAAAGCTACTAATCACACACCCGCCTGCACATAGTCAGAATGAAACTGCTCCAACCCCTTGGCAAAATCTTATCAGGCTTTTTAAGGAAAAGCGCTACATTCAAAAAACAAATTATATATATATATATATATATATATATATATATATGCATTACCTTTGGACTGCCTCAGAGTAAGGAGCTTCATTCTCCCAGTCGAACATAAGAGAATATGAGCTCGTGCGTTGTCCATTCTTGGCCACCCCAGAAGTTGACGAGGCAGAACTACGATCATTCAGTGCAGAGGATTCCACATTCCATTCAGATGCTAGCTCTGAAGTTCCAGGCAAATCATCCTTCTGGTCAGAATCAATTGGCAAATGTGAATTTTCTAAATCAGGTTCACGAGGACGTTTAAGTGACGCTTTTCTATCATCTTCTCTTCCTGCATCTCGTTTGAACTTGTGAGAAGACGTAGATACGTCCGACAGACTTTGTAGCTTTGCTTGCAACTGAATCCACCGATTCAATGTAGGATATCTGCACATTGAAACATCTTGTATCATGATATGTACCCAAACGTTTCAACAAGGTCAAAATAAGTTAATAGAAAGCAACACAACAAATTCGTCAGTTTGTACGATTTACAGAATATATTACCACATACTTGACCCAGAGAAAGATAGAACACAGATGCTCAAGGTATGATATCAGGCAATTGGGGAACACATTAATTACCTCTCAGATTGTTCCAGGGCAAAATCGAAGAAGGAACGGTCCGCATCTACCGCAGCACTTGAATTAGCTATGGCTGGATCATTAGCTCTTGTTGTGAAACAACTTTGACCAAACACACAAGCAAGAATTGATCGTACGGGAGAAATAGTAGCAAGGTGCTTCACAACATCCAGTTGTAGTGGATACAGTTGAGGCTCCTCATCCTCATGTGCATTTGTTTGCACAACATGGACATCTCCCCTTTGAGTGCCAGGTTGAACCACACGTGTTGGGAGCTGTGGTATACAAGCCCAGCCCTTACCTCCACGAGGAGGATACACTGGAGGTACGCACGCTGAGATAACCTGCAAGACTCAGAAAGAAACCCCCCCAAATTGTAAGAACATGGTTACTTTTAATTACAAATTTCACTAGTGAAGCAAATACATTTTCTTTCCTTCATGAAAAAATATGTATAAGCAATTACAAAGAGCAACAACTACTGTGCGAACTTGAACGTGCAAACAGGTACATCAGTGTTTATTTAAGGTTTTACAAGACTGCATTAAGTATCTGCATATATCATGATGTTTGTGAGCATGTCACAAGTTGCTTGCTGTTGTCGGGAGATAGTAAGGGGAAACAAACAACTTGTAGAAAAGGTTTTCGATAAGTGAACATTTCCTTCAGAGATTCAAAATACCCAAGATCAATCACAAGTAAGATGACAACAAGATGGCAAATAGTACCAGTCACAAATTACCTGGTGAACAAGATCTGCACCCATGATTTCAGCAACTTTGCCTGCGGCATCTGCACTGCCCCTCTCGAAAACGAGTCTTGTCAATAGCTGCAGGGACAAAGAATTAGAGTGTAACAATGGGTTATCCGTTCTAGATCATAATAATCAAATCCAACTCATTCCATTCCGAAATGCAGCTAGCCATCAAAACAACTTCCAATAATTCCAGGGTCAAAACTTAGAATCCAACTAATAAATGGAATCAAGGACTTGAGCAAACAACTGGTACACAGCGTCTGGAATTGAGCACAAACTACATAGGAGCAGCTTACGTTGTACTGTGAGGAATACATTTAAGGCGAATAAAAACTACACAAACCATCATATCAAGTCAGAAGTATCCTCAGTTTACAAAGTCAAACGCTTTTAGGATGTCATAACATCTCCAAAATTCATAATGAAAAGCCCTCTGCAGATGTGGCAAAAAGTGTTCAGATGGACGTACATCATTAGGGCGCTCATAAATGAGTGTGAAAAAATTGAAGTCATGGGTGGTATCCACACCATCTACAATGTCGCCGACAGTTGCAATGTATAGTATAAAGGCAGATAGATATGCCATAGGCTTGCTACTCAATGGTCCAAGAAAACGCTTCATCGCCCCCTTAGTAGCTACTTGAAAAACGTTATCATCGGTAAAGTCCCTTGAGACTGACCCTGCACTCGAGGTTGACGTTTTGGAGCCGTGCCTTGACGGAACTCGTAATCCAAGTCCCAAGCCAAGACTGTGTTCAGGTCCAAGCAATGACTTCCCTTCCACATACGGCCCAATCAATGAGTCTTCACCCTCCTCATCTGCCAGTGCCTTAACAAGATTATGCAGCTTCCCTGCATTCAGACAGCAGCATGTAATACTTGAATTAAGAGGTCAGATGACAACCGGTTAGATTTGTTCCAACAGAGTCACAATGAGCTGATCACGCTTATGTCCTCGAGAGAGGATATCTCACTGATGTCAGCAAATATCTGGGATATTGAGAACCAAAAGGTGCAGCAACTAAGGAAACAAAGAGACTATTTAAATCGCCCGGCAAACTGTGAAATTCAAATGATAATGTCCCCAAGCCACATACGTCAACCAGCAGACTGCCGCAAATATCCATGATACAGTAGACAAAGAATAAGGAATTATTATTTGAGAGAGTCGCATAATGCTGCGCTTCAATATTCTAAATTCAATAAGATCACCGTCAAGTGTTTAAGTGAAACCGAAGAACATCAGTATGACATCAGAAGGTGCAATAGTATTCAGGTTTGTTACCACTTAAAAATTGACGTTTTCCTTTGAAGGCATCTTCTATAGTTTGTTGCAGAATGGCAAGAGCCCTCTGTCGGAAGACTTGACGAGTACTATCAGTCCCTGACATTGACACCATGTCTGCACCAGACAACACAAGTTGCAGAGCCCCGACTTTGTCCTGATTAACAAACACCACCAAAGTTCCCGAAAAATCCATCGTTAGATACCCCCTTGCCTTTCAGTACTAAAATTTACACAAAGATTAAACCCTCAACTTTCCTGGTTAGTGCCTTAATTCTGATTGAGTCGAGAAGATTACGACAAATAGAACAACCAAACATCATGCAAAGGTAGATAGACCTGCAAATCACTAAAATGATTGATGTTTATTAGCAACTACTAAGCCAGGACCGTCACCTCAGGCAAAAAAGAAGCACCGACCTGTTCAAGAAGTTCATTCAGCCGGATAACTGTGCGTTTAGCCACCATGGCCATGCAGACCTCCTGTCGTTGCTCAGGCCCTTGACCTCTTGCTCCTGCCTGTTGAATTTGAGATAGAAGGACACGAGCCTGCAGAAACAACCAAAGTTGATTACCAGAGCTATCTAACAGGTGCAACTTTTATACAATAGGCTACACTCAAGGATCAAACATAAGGTGATTGGAAAAAATTTAACCTTGTGTCCTTGAAGTATTCAATTATTGACTGAACATAGTGGAAGGACTCAACTTAAGAATTGATGCTCACGTAGTTGCTCAGAGCAAAGAGACAATAAATATTGGAAAACTTAAAGATAGTAGTAAGATACACACCCGATCAAGAAGACGTCTCGCCATGTCAACTGACCTCACCGAAGTTGCAGCAACATCAACACAGAGTAGAACCTGATATGCAGTTCAAATTCAGAGTTAACTGGTCGCTAAAATTTTGGTGCCAAGCAACCACTAAGATAAGGCCTATCATACAGATCAAAAACATTTCCACAGAGATAATAAATAAATAAAGGAAACAAAAGCCAATATGGACATTTGACTTTACAGTGGCAAGAGGCGCTAGAGGTGCTTGGAGAGCAGTGAAATCAAGGTTGTCATCAGCAGTTGACAACTCCTCTGCGACTCGAGAAATAGCATCATCCACCTACACATCCAGAAAACTTCTTCAAACTTCAACTTCCCTTGGATGTGAATAGCAAGTTTATAGCATTCATATCAAATGCCAGGAGAAAAAAAAAAAAAAAAAAAAAAAAAAAAAAAAAATGTTACAAGGACTTCCCTCACTAGGGTACTGCTTTGTCTCATTCTCACAAGCCAAGCATAGATTATATGAAGAAGCCGAAAGTAGGAACATAAAACGGACAAACAAAATGAGGTGAAGGCCTTCCAAACTAGTCAAAATAAGTCAGCAACTATGCAAAAATATCCAAAATAAAACTAAAACTAAGATAAACAAATGCTGTGGATAACTTAAGGGTAGTTTGGGAGTTCAAGTTCCTAACGCACCGACACTCTCGATACAGCACTATCAACCCATTGAGCAAGCTGCAAGGAAGCTGCTTCTTCAGGAGATAACTTAAAGCGACGCACCGCCTCTTGACCCAGGTCATAATGATTCCTCTGAACACACCTGTAAGTGCTAGTATTAATTAACTGATACCGCGTGACAAAAATCATCTCCCTCACAACATCAGATGATAGGAATGTGCAAAGTAGTACCTTTTCTAAAAAAAACGCAGGAAAATAAAATAAAAATAAAATAAAATAAAATAAAAGTCAGATTCAAATATTGCTATTGAGGTTGTAACAAAGAGCTTTTTTTAATTTTTAAAACCATAAGCTACGGATAAGAAATTCAAATTTATGCACTGCAGAAAGTTGCCCAAAAGTGGCAAATATGAAAGCTGGGTTAACAGTTGTCATAGAAGTGATACTAATTAAGCAGTGAGGAATTAGAGACATGGCAACACCTACTTCCTGTGTGAGGCGCAAACTGTCCCAACATTATTAATCTGAAGGCACAAGATTTAATTTGAACGTATCACAACTCTCCAGTGTAACACAGACCAAGAAAATGAAATAGAATAACAGGATGTTCGAATGCTGACATCAAAGAATCCACCGATTGACATCCATTTATCCTAATACCACCTCTTCGTAATCACTGATTCGGTCAAGAGCACCTACATGTTCAGTATTGTAGAAGGGGCTGCTCGCAAAACTGCCAAGGCTTCTCGCCATTGCCAAGGTCGCTGAGAAGATGAAGTAAGGCGCTGCAATACTCCAATTCTCCAATTCCAATCATCAACGAATAGATGCAAGGCTTCTAATTGCTTCAACCAGGCTTTTTTGGCTGCTCTGCTAGGAAAACTAAAGCTTTGAATGTTGACCTTCCTAGACAAGCCAATTCTACTAGTAGAAGGACCCCTTGTATCCAACTCTAAACCGGCAGCCGGCATGCACTGCTGAAGTATTGTCAAAATGTTTTGAATGAAAGCAATCGCGGATAACTTCTCTCCTTCTCCTGAGTTAGTATCTCTTGGCTCCAAAATAAACGGGTCGTTCATAGTAGGAGCTTGGATTGTAATACCATCCATATGCAGGAGCGAAACTATGATGCCCATCATAAACACCTGCATGAGATGAGAATATCAAATTTATGGGGTTGGCATACCCAAAGAGTTAACCATAACAAAGGCACAATTCATCCATCACATCCAGCATGAAGTTATCTAGGAGATTAAAAATGTTGGTAAGAATGCTCTAAATATGTAGTAGTAAATTCTCTACGAACAATAGAGACCACTGTAAGATTGATTAATTGTGATATTGGGGTGTTCACAAACCCGACGGACAGGCGTTGTAATAGCATCCAAATGTTCTCGGAGATGCTGTAAATAAATGACTGCTCCATATGCCTTTGCCTCCTCCGATTGGTCGTTATCCGTAGAAACCTCCACGGAATTCAAAGCAAGTACTATAGCTTGTAAACCGTAGTGCATGTGTAAGAGCTCCAAATCAAGGTGTCTGCAACAAGAATGTAAATCAATAATTCTATCTACAACACAGGATATCACATTGCTAAAATGCGACAAGCACACACACACACACACGCACACACATCTATGAGTATGTGCGCGCGCAAAAATGAAGAATGAAATTTACAATGCCACTACTTATCACCTTACGCATACAACTTCACAATGTCAGGTGTATGGATAGAACCTTTGTCGGTAGGCTTCAACGGATGAGCCAGTTGGCTGCAGTTTAACCAGGTCTAGAGCTTCGGTGAGCTTAATGTCAGGAACGACGTCAAAAAGAACCTAAACAAGAAGCATATCTGTCAGCAAGTACTCACTAACAACTTAAATACAAAATCATACAAAGAAGCAAAATACAAAATCATTGTACAAACCACCCATTGTTAAGGTGATCGATGTGCAACTCCATCACAAGTCCATCAAATACCATAATTAAGTCAACAAACATTTACATAGGGAACGAGTAGACCCACCCGAATAGGAGAATGAAGAGTTAACCGTTCAAGAACTAGATTGGCCACAAAAGGATCAGCAGGACCTTCGATATCCTCCACTTTAGGGCGACCACCCTTGTTGAAGATTCTTGTGCTAGCCGACTGACCATCTACGCCTTTGATTGAACGAGCAGCAAAGTATGCCAACTCCAAACGATAACATAGCTGATCGCAGAGCTGGTCCACACATGAGACCTAACACATGGCAATTTAAATCACCCATCTAAGGCCATGCCAATTTTCTCAGCCATCTATATCCACAGAATTCTGTAAGCACTACCGAACAAGGTAACTTGCATTGGGGTCCTATAGTACATTAGATTTCATAGTAGAACAAAAATGTAGTACTACCAACTTAGCCAGAGGAGAGAGAATACATGTCTCTGTTATTCCTTCCACAAAAAGAACGATTCATTTCGTGAAGAAATCTCTATGGTCCTACTTTTGCAGGATTCCAAGATGTGATACAGAGATAAGATTTAAAGAATACCTCATCTGCAGCTCTTCCATGAGAATGTCCCGTAAGTTTTATCTTACTATTCCAAAGTAGCTCCATCAGCTTGCGACGAGATTTGGTATGACCAGGCAGGAGGTCCCAACCCATGACGGCAACCAATGGTTGAAGTCGTGGAAATGGGGTCACTATCTGCATTCACAGAATTACAATGTTTGAGACATGACTACACATCTCAATCCATTCACGCTGCAAAACTAAAGATCGCGCCTAAATGATTTCGGCACATCATTCTTCGATAACACAAAATGAGAGGTTGGAACGAACACGTACATCTGCAACTTTCTGCAATTGGCGGTCTTTAACGGAAGCAAGTGCTGCCTTCACCACTAGTTCCAGCACATGTGCACCATCAACACGCGCATATTGATAGAGTTCTCTTAAACATGTCCGAACAGCTGAGGTTTCAGTCATTGCAAAACTTCCTGACCCAGAAGAACTACCCTGTCGCAGTTGCTCCAGACGTTGGTGTAGTCGTTCCAACGGTGGAGGGTACAACAACTGGGGTGATGCCTTAAATTGCTCCAGTTCTTCTCGAAGCATGTCATCTTGAACAGACTGGTTAACACATACAAGCCAAGAGAGCTTCGTAAGTCTGTTAATGACTTCTATCCTACTCACGTCGACCTTGCTTTCGCTAACCACTGTTAATGAAAGTCTACAAACACTGAAAGGAAAGGCTCTGAGCTACCTCTATAAGTTTTGGGAGAAGTATGCTCCCAGAAGAGAGACTGCACTCATAAATGGCTTGAAGAATAGAATCATGTTGCTCCCGCGCCAAGAATTTTGCTTCTTTCAGAATCGAGTGAATTGCTCCACTAATTAATGGTCAACAAACACAGCACAATCAGAAGGCAGAAGAACAACTCATCATCTCTAAACTTCTCAGATGCATCCTGGACGTATCTATAGATCCTCCAAGCTGCATGCGTAGTCAACAACAAGGCATCCGCCAGAGCCAAGATAGTGAATGGGCTTCCTGACCTGCAATCAGTTTTTGCAATTCCAAAATCTTCGTGCAGAAATCGCAAGTGACTTATGGCCTTGAGCAATTGGCCCCCTTCAGCATCTTCCATTATTTGATTAAGATGTGCTTGTTGTACTTCCCTTTGAATGTCTGACCCCAACTGTGAAAAAATGAAGAAAGATCACGTTCAGATATATCCTAGTACCATAAATCTCCAGTCCAGACCAAATAAATGGATAATCGAAGACCGAGAATGCTGAGACTGCTTGTGGCCAGTACACGGGATACAGTCCGGGGTTTCACCTCAAAATGTTCAAGCGTGCTTAGTAAGGTGAAGTCTGTTCTTGCAGAATCCTCTTCAGGCCCTTCATCGACCCTGTTCCTGGACGATTCTGTACTTAAATCTGCATCCGACTCCCTTTGAAGGTCCACCTGAACCCTGGAGCCACCCTGCTGTTGTCGAGCTATATTCTGACATAGTGCATCGAGAAGATCTGGTTGACGGAGAGTCAGATGCCGTAGCCATTTCCTGTCCACTTCTGTAAACGACTCCTTAACTTCTTCGTAAGAGCCAGCAGAGCCAGAAGATTCAGCTCTATCAGCATCCCCATCTCCACCCTGAGCTTCACTCAATCTGTCATCCCTGTTTCCACCTTCTGATCCATGTCCTGTAATAAATCTAATTGACCGATCGAGCCGCTCTAGTCCTGCTGCAGCGACTTTTCGAACAAGCCGAAGTCCAGCTCTTTCATCCGGAGGACTCCCATCATCAGTGGTCTTATTGATTGCAGGTGCTGTCTCCGACGTTGACACATTACCATTTTTCTCTAAACCTGAAGAACCAATCAGGATACATAACCTTAATGTTGCAATAATCAACAATTTGAACATAGTAGTAATAGTACTACCAGTCCTCTCGCCCTTGCAATTATGTAAAAACAAATGAATAAATGAGAGTTAACCTGAAGGCTCCCAATAGTTTCTTAATTGACGGAGAAAGAGCGAGTTGGAAGCTTAAACAGAAATAATTTAACATTACGCCAGAACCCCCAAGCAGGGTTTAAGGTTCAGTAGGATGCAACCCTCGGGTAATGTTCCTCTGTGCTCCATTTAACAGTGACACACAGCGCACGCATCACTGTCTTTCTGAACCTCCCTAAAATTGTGCCATCCAAAATTTCTTACATAAATTTTCTACGACACCTTCCATATGTCATTTACAGGTTTTATGCTTAGCGACAATATTTTAGCCATTAGTCCTGCCCTACTTGAAGCCTCTTAAATAATTTCTATGATATCAACCGTCTCTCAATCATGACTTCCGCGAGCTAGAAGAAATTATCCACAATTTCTGTGTGTACCGCGCATTAGGACTCAACCCGCTACATCTTGACGTGTGAATGAAACTTTTGGATTTCTTCTCCACTTGCTCATGATTGGACTAGGTTTGTCACTGGAAATATTTCAACCGACCTCATTAGCAGGCACTCTCATTGCATACCAACTATCCAAACACAAAGGGCCTGCTTTAATTCCCGAAACACCAACCGCACATTGTGTCACGTTGCTTACAAAACTGGCTCTATATGGCGATAGGGTTTATACAACAATCAATCTACCTGGCATTTAAGTCTCAACTAGAATGCAAATCGATCTCCCGTACCTGTACTTCCCGATAACTCCTTCGCAATTGTCGTGCCATTCTCGACCACGTGCTGCTTAATAAATTCAAGGAGAAGCAAAAATTCGATGCAGTCATAAACAGGACGGCAGTAAAATTGCCAATGGTTGCCTCGAAATTCAGGTAAGCTAGACATCGGGGACGACGACGCTGATGCTGCCTCGAAGGGATCATCCTCTGTCTGTGCCTCAGTTTTTGTTGTTCCGCGATTGGTGTCATCCATAAGCTTTTCCTCCATAGCGTGCAGCTCCTGGAGGCAAAGCCAAGCCATGTGCGCAGAGGAGGGTACGCTCTCCGACCACACCACCCCCTTCAAAGTCCATATCTTCTTAATCACCGTTTGGTAGATATCACGCGCCAATCCAGGACTTCGCACGCTCAATGTCAACAAGCATGCTCGAAAGAGCTCAAATTGCGACAGAAACAGGTGATTGGCGATCACCGAACCCAATAACTGATCCTCCTTGCTCTCCATGGGCTCTCAATCCCACTCCCTCCCGCACACGCACACACACACTCTCTCTCTCTCCCTCTCTCCTCCTTCTCCTTCTCCCTCCCCCTCACCTTCCTCTTCCCCTCCGGATCATCCTGACCCCACCAACCCCAAATCCACGAAAATCCCTCGAAAATCACAAAAATCACACCAATCACAACTTATTTGAAATTAAGTAGAGCAACCCTCGATTCCTTCGCATCACTAATCAGAACACCCTCCCGCCCCCAAACTCCACCACGTCTCAATAGTCCCCGCATTTATCAATCAGTCTGCTCTCCATCAACAAAACCACCCAAAATCTCAAATCCCTCAAACGAATCCGGGTTCCTGTTAAATCCCGTCACCGTTCATACATCTGAAGGGCACCAACCGCGAGGGTCCTCACGAGAACCTCAGCGAATATCCGAACAGAGAGGACGCTCGCTCAAGGCATCCGCTCGTTCATCCCCAATCCGGCACCAAACAAAGCGATGTGAACGGGAAGCCGCAATAACGGGACAGTGAGAGAGAGAGAGAGAGAGAGAGAGAGAGGGGGGGGGGGAGGGGGGGATTGGGGAGGGCTGAACGGGGGGCAATCGCGAGCAACATGAATCGAGCGAGGCTGTGAAAGCACTTGGAATTCATGGAGGTTGCGAGGGGGACGGCAGCCACGCCACGCCCCGCCACGCCGGGCTAGGCCAAGGCCCAGGCCAAGCGAAGGCGGGGGGCTGGGTGTGTCGGGCTCCCGTTCCCCGGACAAGGGCCCCATTCGCGTCTTTTTCCCGACCTAGTAACTTTTTCACCGCGGGCAGTTTCCCCCCTGCCCCAAGAAAAAACCAAAAATTAACATACAATTTCATGTACTTAGTCTGGAGAATTTCCAAAACACAATATTAAAAACTTCTCATGATTTTTTTATAATATTTTTTCAAATTTTCTGTTATATATATATATATATATATATATATATGTTTTTTTAATCACTCTTGTAAATTTTATATTTTCTAAAAATTCACCAAGGATGAAAGAAAATATTGTAGGTTTTTATGAATATAAATAGAAGTATGTAAACTTTAAATTCAAAATATTTAATGCGGCAATAAATTATATTTTTTAAAATAAATAAAACTTCACGTACAACTTAAATAGGATTTTAAAACTTTGACAAGGAGCTTTGGAAGCAGTATTGGAAAATATCGCATGAAAATAATAATAATTTTGTAAACAATAGGTTTAGTGTCTTTAATAAAAATCTATAAATCTATAATTTTTAGGCTTTAACATTAAAAAATAAATTGGAAATTATTAGCATATTTTGAGAGTGGCATGCCAGTTATATTTTTCTTAACTCTTTTGTATTACAGTGAATTTTTTTAATGCCTTTCAACATTTTGAATTTTACAAAAAAATAACATTTTAGAATAAATAGATTAATTTTGTATTTCAAATCATCAATTGTAAATCCTTCATAACAAACTTCAATAAGCTTGGCAGAAACATTCTTTTTTATTATCATATAGTTCTAGTAATTTGGAAATGTTTGAATTTTTTATTTAATAAGTTTACTGATGTATCAATTTTCAATCAACTTGAGATTGAATAATTAAGATTTAAGGAGGTTACAAAATACAAGTACTGAAACGTTACGTAAAATTGTGATTGTTATTACTTAAAGGTTTAAATTCTAAATATAAAGTAAGTTAGAAAAAACATGTTTAAAGACAAAGTTACACATTTGAAGAAGTTTTATATTTGAGAGAAAAATTTCAACATTTGAACAACTGCAGGTCCAGCATAAATGATTTGGTTTAATAATATTTTTAGGATTATTTTTTGAATTTTTTAACAGTTACATATTACAAAGATAAAAGACAGTCCATAAAAGAGAAGCATTGTTCATATTTTATTATAAATACAACCTATTTATACTATCCTATAAATATTTAATCCAGTAAATTCATTTGAATTTTCATCATGATATAAATTTAAGTATTATGGGTATAATTGTTTCATGTGACCAATTTCACATGTGTTGCATGGACACAAAAATTAGTACCCAATTCTACCTCAACTCCAACTATAATCCATGTATAACAATGCAAAAAAATGCAAAATTGTCAACGCATAACAATGCAAACTTGTTAGTCAATGCAATGCAGATAACAATGCAAAATTGTCAATCATTGACTCAGGTCACATAATTTTAAGTTTTAATTTTTTGCGCAAGAGTTTATAATGGTGTGACCAAGTCTCGTGATTTAAATGCACTGAATGAAGTCTTCACTTAAGTATACAACAGTTATAAAAACCATCTATACACATATTCTATTGATAATGCTGTGTATCTGATGACAATCATGTATAAAATTTTACTTTTTGTTTTTTTGGCTTTTTTTGTTTTGTTTTGTTCTTTTGTTTTTTGAAGTTTTATGTCAAATCATGTTACGTTTGTTATGTCAAAAAAATAAAAATAAAAATAAAAATCGTATTTGTATCTAACCCTTCTATTAGAAAAAGTCTTTCCACTATTTTAACAAATTTATTTTAAAATAAAACTCGGTGGTGGTTATGAAAGCAAGTTTGATTTCTATTGGTTGCAAAAGATAAAGGGAAACAGAACCCTATCCCAAAGGTCCAAGTTTTGTACATAAACATTTTTAGAAGTTGTATGGGTTAATGGATTTTGCCATTGCGAAGAAGAAGAAGAAGACGAAGACGAAGCTGTTTGTAGTGTAAAATCTGTATCTAATCTGCATGTTCAGAGCAAGGCAGTCAAGGGTAACCTTCAAGAGTGAGTGTGACGCGTTCAAACCTGTATTCGCAATTTCGGAAAAGTGGAGGGTGAAGAAAACATGATCTGTCTCTTCATTACTCGAATTTTCTCGTTTTTTTCATTATTCTCCACTCTCATCACATGGTGAAAGTTATGTTGATATTTGTATTGGATTCTGAGTTTTATGAATTTCATTGTAGCGGAATCGTCTTCATTTGCTGGAGCATAGAAAGGATTGTTGTGCTCCAGATTCGTCTCCGCAATTGAAATGCTGTACCTTCATTTCAGTGATTGAGGAGATTTTTAGGTCGAAGATATTGTTCTCTCGGAGTGCGCTACAACTAGATTTTTCAGTGGTGTGAGTAGGTTGCAGAATCAAGTGTTTCTCGATTTTTTCAAGTGGGAGTTCATGTATGACACCTCTCAATTTTTTGATCCGGCTGAAATGGAATCCGTCTTTCACACGAGTCGTATTGGACTATTGTTTTCAGAGATACACACTAACTAACTAACAACGTACTAGAGGTAACTCTAGACTACGCTAGTAACTCATTTCACTTGATATGATGTGATTTTTTCCTGGCAGGATGTTGTGTAACCTAATTTGCCAACCCAACCGAGTCCACTTCTGGTTCAGATTGCCAGAGGTGGAAGCCACAGGTGCCTACAATGCAAAACAGCCGCTCTCTTATCCTCCAACTTCCTTTTCATGCTGCTCAATTTTCAGTTCTCACGTCCAATTCAACGTCGTTGCAAGTAGTAGATTACCTTCCACAAACGGATTCAGTCGTTTGCAATTTTTTTAAGAATGAATGGATGTGAAACGAGCACAATGCCAAAAAGATCACGAACACGGTCCAGGGGTAGGAGAAGAACAAGCCGACGACCAAGATCGAGCTCAAAAACTGGATTAAGGCCTAATCCGAAGAAGAAAAAGTCAAGCTATAATCTATCAACTGCAACGCTATGTGATTGTCTTTTCAATCCTGAACCAGCGGGTTGGCTGGATCGTGCACTGTATTACGACAAGAGATTGACGTGTTGGCTTCGCGACCAAGGCCTTCGATTATTCTTGTACCTCCTGTTACGGGCTATGGAGCTTTCTGGTGACGGTGTTTGTTTGATTTCGACAGCGGCAGCCACATATCTACTCCCGAAGAAGAAGCTCACTCCCGAGGTTCGCATGTTCTTCTTCAACCTTCTTGGAGCTTTTATTGTTGATCTGGTCATCGTGACGGTGATCAAATATTATGTCCGATTATGGCATCAGTCGTCGAGTTGTCAACCACACTCCGTAACCTTCGACTTAGAAAACTCCACCCGACCGATCCTGGTGGTCACCTTCTTCACCATGTACCTGCCAATGTGGAAGGATCAGGCTGCCAATGTTTGGCTGCCATTCTTCAGGAGATTGGTTAGCAACAAGGTTGGACTCGACATCCAAGACGAGGGAGTGCAGTTGGCGAATTTGCTTGTTAGCATTATTACCTGGCTCGTCTTCTCCTGGGCCGTTTCTACCACATCGTCTCGAATCATTCTGGGCCGCCATTTTTTTTTCGACGTGCTTGTGGGTTGTCTCGTAGGAATTCTGGAAACGCTTCTGTACAGCAAATTCCTTGTCATTCCTGATAAGGTCTCAGAGGGTATCCACAACTACCTCATCTTCTTCTTCGGTAATATTGAAAATCACGTTCGATTTCTTTTCAGTAACTGCAAGTTTCACATTGAAAATTTGGTCAAGAGGTGATCCAGAACTGATTGATGGAGCATGTGATGCATTTATTGCTCCCTGCCCTAACCTTATGAAGCAACTCGAGCCAGGGATCCCTGACTTGTATACCTGGAAAAGAGTTTCTGAGATAATATCAGCAGGGCTTCCAAAGCCTACGTTTTGAGTATTGAACAGTGATAAGTTGATTTGAGCACGTCTGAAGATTCTCTCTACGATTGTCGAAGCGGCGTAATCTGGGTGAGGACTTGTAGCTTGCATCAATGCATCTATCGCCCTTTACACTAAGCTTTTTTCAAGAGTTCGATAGTGGAAGGTGCTCCTAACTAGCCCAAGCTGATTGAAAGTTGATTCATGTTATGCTGTGCTGTATATGTGACAATCCAACTGTACACGGAGCAATTGATACGTTTCATCTCCAAGCAACTGGTCCTGTCACCTTTGTTCTCTGCACCATTAGCCGTGGGACGTACTCTGCAGATGCTTAATGTCGGCAGGTTTTACACTTCGCATCATGGCAGAAGATTATATACCAGGTCGACAGACAGGGTCAGGTGGGGCAGCGCACATTCTCATTGAAGTTTTAGAGGACCGGGTGCATCTTAACATGCTCATAGTGAAGTCCACAAGTCTACATTCAACCACTTACCACGGAGATTCTGGAAGACAAGGGGCACGGATGTGAACAGTCTGTGCAGCTTAAGATTCTCTGTGTATTAGGATGGGTGAATATGAGAATAAGAGGACGAAGCATAGAGATTAGACTTGTGAGCAGGAGGATCTGCTATGTACCACGAAGATAGTAGAGTGCTAATGGCCAATGTTTGCAATATGGTTTTTGGTTGATCACTGAGTATCATAGTCGCTGGAGATCTATTATTATGTTGTTCCTGGTTCCTTCGAGTAATCTTCTGTTACAGATCACAACACGCCTGAGTAGGTTTGCAGGGTGTCACCACAGCTTACAGAATGGCCCACTGCACTTAGATGCACGACACCTTCTTTACCGGCACTCGCCAAAAAGAGAATGTTGGGTTTCACCTAGAAACGAAACCTGTAGCATTCCGGAAGCGGCCGCAGAGGAATAGGTAATCAGCTAGTAACACGATAATTTTTTTTATCATGATTTTGTGCAATTTTAACAATTGTTTTATATGCTTGCCCATTCCCACCCACAAATTTGGAACTTACGGCCCTTTGCAAGAGCGAGGGAGGGCTAAGACGAAGTGCTAAGGAGAAGTGATAAAGCACTGAGAAATATAAATACAATATAATATATAAACACAACATATAAATACAACATATATAATCTATCAAGCACGTTGCCATGATTGAAACTTGAGACCAATTTGAATCTACAAAAACCCTCAGCCACTAGTACTAGCCTTCTTAGTTGTTGATTTTATACTATAATCTCACATTATTAATATTAATTGCTGTAGAGTAGCAAAAATTATGGTGGTATTAGCAACATCGTAAATTCATTTATGGACACATAGTTCGAAGAAGAAAAAAACACTTAGAAATTTTGTTACATTATCAAAAATAATTATTTTAAATAGTAGAGGCATTACAAAAAAAATAGAAATAAAAATAAAAAATCTTAATTTAACTTTGTTATAATAATAATAATAATAATAATAAATTTTAGACTAAGTAAATTTGTTAAATATTAAAATTTTATTTTTACATAGTATCTAAAGTCAGATAATTGAAATTTAATTATAAGAATAAAAACATGAAAATAAATCATTTAGACATTTAATTGATAAGGTGTTTTTTGAAACTAAATTATTTAAAAATCTATCTCAAATTTTTATAGAATTCGTTTTAATCTATTTTTATTTATTTTTTGGTAAATTGAGTTGAATTTTTTGTTGTAAGAATTAAATGTCTTCTATGATACATAATTTCATTACTTGCACAATTTTTATTTTTTTTTCTTTTTAATTTTAGAAAATTTAGAAAGTGAGTTTACAACTTAGTCAATTTGATTTATGTATTAAGTTCATTGTATGTAATTTGGAACAAATTTCATTTTTAATACATAACATAAAAATTTATAGATTTACAAATATTTGTACAATTGTATAATAAAATATAGTTAGATTTTTTTGATGAAAATCTTAATAAGAAAAAACAAGAAACAAGAAGATAAATAAGCAACTTAATTGCATTGTCCAATATTTAATAGAATTTTTCAAAAAAAATTAAACATGTTCTTAAGAAGCCAAAATCTAATATGCTTCTTCATATTTACTACAAAGAGTGAATTTGTAAACTAATTTTGTAATTTAAACAATATACTATTGGTTATTTGGATACATGCTCAATACTTAATTTTAACATTTGAACCATAATTAAAATATGTCCCATATTCTTATATTGGCAAGAGAAGAAATTATAATTGATTAAACATAAACTCCAAACAATTTCTTGAAAAATAAATTCCACAAATTGACTAACTAAAAACTATACTAACATACTCACAAACCAGTTAATAGAAAATATATACTAACACATTTACAAACTTGCTATTAAAAAACATACACTAGCACACCAAGCACAAGTCAAGTCAACAAGAAACAAAATAGTACATAAAACCAAAGTGGAGGATAAATGGTTGCCAGCAATAGAATTAGGACAGCTTTCATCACCTCAATATCACCCAACACAAGCTTGCTCTCCAATTTCACCAAGTTGCCTGCAGGCTTTTGCCATGATTCTTGACAAGTTTATAGTCCATCCTATCCAATCCTTAATAGAACCAAAGGTAGTCACAGTAATTGGCACTAAAAAACACACACATATTTGATGAAAATTAAGCAGACTTTCCCTGTGACACTGGCTCGGAATCCAGTCACAAATCCAAAACAATCCCAGTTAAAGTTTACAATGTAATCGGAACGAATGAAGAACCTTGATGTCCACAGAATTTCGAAACACAAAATCAGATATCTTGCATACTAGAATTGCAGACCCACTTCAGTCAGCAGCACTACTTTCACTGACGCAAGGTTAACTAAGTCAAAGCCATATCTCTTGCCTGAGACAACGTGAGCAGACGCTGAATGTCGGCCTTCGACAGAGTTCCTAGTACAGCGGATCACAGATTGAATCGTCATGTATCCGTCAGTAACTTAACAAATTGGGTCAAGCATTTAAATTTTGTTTGCACAAATAAAAAGAATGGAGATGTTCAAACTATCAGTATTATGTTAATTGCAACTAATTGAAGGAAATCATAAAGTTTTAATAAAACTATCATGGCGTCGGTTCTGGATTTATGAACGTAATAACGCCAGAATGAGTCGTCACTGCTGAACAACCGTTATCTTTTGTGTCACTTCCATTTGCTAGACGTCCCAAAATATGGAACATGATGATTACAGTCGTTCTTGAGGAGCTTGTTGAAGAAATCATGCACCGGTCTGTTCTATATCATCCTTAACGACCAGCGCAGCATTGGCAAAGCCTTTCGGATAGGACACAAGAGCATGTCATATGATGTTCTATTCCGCGGGTATTGCTGCAGTGCGCAGCTGCTGAGTCCGTGCTGCTGCAGCGATGATGCAAGAGTACCAAGGCTCATGAACTCGGCATGTCACTTCTGCGAGCACTTCCAGGGCAGCGGCTGTTGCAGTGACCTTGTCCATGAGATATACCCCACCAATCCTCTTCAAAGCTGCCTGAGCACACGCCATGCCCTCCGAGCTCTTGCCAAGAATGAGTAGTGCTCGTAAGCTAGCTTCTACGGTAGCAGAGACTCGTGCAAACACTGGGTCTTCTGGAGACAAGCTCTTCTTGAGAACTCTCGTCATGAGCTCTGCGGTAACAGGAGCCACAGAGGGTGCTGAACACGTCTCCACTTCATCTCCTCTGTTCGCAATCTCGGCAAGAATTGTCCCAATTTGAGTCAGAGAAGCTGTCGGATCATTCAAAAGGACCTCAAGCTTTTGTTTGCCCTTCTCCATAATGACCTCCAATTGAAGTGGCGCAACGCCCTGGGTAATTAACCCTTGCCTTGCTACCAGCAAACTACAAGTTCCAATAAAACGATTGTAAGATGAATCAAATAAAAGAGGATTCAAGAGAATCGTTATTGATCTCAATAGTAAAGAATCGAAAATATATTTCGTGGTTTCACTGGCAAGACTTGAGGTTGATTTCGCAAGAATGATTGCAGAACGATAACCTTCTAGTTGAACAAGGAATAGAAATGTTTACTTACCCAGTGGCTATCACAAGGATTCGTTGAAAAGCGTTCTGGCAGTCACGTAGCCGTATGGTGTTGAGAGCAAGAGTCTCCGGTACCCACGGTTCCTGTGCAGGCTCATTACAGCGTAGAATACGTAGCAAGCCAAGGTACACTAACGTCAAATTGCTCTTCCATTCTACTTCATGAAGTCTTTTGCCACCTGCATAGTTCCTCAGTAATGAGTCCCCTGCTTTTTACTCAGAAAGTGACGATCGACAAGCCTCTCATATAGATTGGAAAGCTCATTCAGATGAATCAACTCACCTGAAGCGTGAAGCCCAAACCCAGCTGTTGAATAGGCAGCTGTTAGACCACTGGCAACACCAATCCGTCCACCAGTGCGCATTGATGACAAAGGGGGTAGCCCTGCAGCGACCGATGGCGCAATAGCCGATGTTCCTTGCACAAGTGCCAGTGAGACTTCCAACTCTGCTTTCTCATGCTCGATGTTCTGAAGACCTTCAGTAAACCAGTTCAACGTGTTCGGCAAGCGCTGGGTAATTTCTGCAAAAGCAACCACAGTTTCAAGCTGGTATCTTGTTGCAAAAGATTTGCGCATGTATTCCACGCCAGCAGTCCCGCTGATCAGAGGAACCAGTGCGCGCAAGCGAGTAGCACTCATGTCCTGTTTCAGCCCCTGCAATATTCAACAAACGACCAAGGTAAGTAAAATTGGAAATCTCTCGATCCTGGTCAAGAAAGTAGAGCTTGCAAGAGCCAGATGGTTCTGAGAACACGGCGTGCTGGGTAAGGTGTATCTTACCTGAAGCTGCTCAAAAATGAAACGCAGGCCTTTGACAATCGTGGTGAAGAATGCGTCATCCGAGTCCTTGATAATTGAAGACACAGTTGCTGCTGATTCTTTAACCAAAGACTCATGAGCAGCACTATTAGCAGTACTATCTCGAGTTGGGGACCCCAGCTTCGAGATCAATCCAGATGCATAGTCCAACAGTCGTTGCAGGTGCTCAACATCATTGCTCCCTGACTCCAAAATCTACAAAAGAGCATCCTAATGAGTTTAACTTGAACAAAGACAACAGCACAGAAGACACTTGTTCAATTTAAAAGCAGAATCTTCGTTGAAATTGGTGAATGACCTGAGCGATTAATTCCAAATCCATGCACTCCCGAAGCTCGTCTCTCCATCCTTCAGGGACAAGGGCTTCGAGTTCCTCTCGGGCTTCCCCTATCAAGCTCACAAATCGTTTATAATCAGTTGGCTTTTGTGCCAAATCAGCCGTAATTCCGTCCCAAAACGCATTCTCCATCGTTGTACGTACCTGCGCCTGATAAGTACACAAAAATGCTGCAAACATTTAACATAGCTTCAACTGCAGCGTAGATTTAGGCTTCAAAAAGGGCAAAAGAGAGAAACGAGAACTAACTAAGCGGTATCATCTTTCTTGTTACTACCCATACCTGAGTCTCTATCATTCGTTTCGTAGCAGAGGAAAGCTCTGGGCCTCCCTTCTTCAGCTGCCATTTGGCATCATGGAGCATCTCATTCACAATGCGCTCATTTGAAAGCTCACCACCTTGGTGAGTCGGAGAGAATTCCTGTGTCTCTAGACCTTTTTCCCGCATCAGATTCACTGGAATTCTTCGAATTGGAGGTGGCAGTTTAAATTGCGGCTTAACAACTTTAGGATCGTATTTATGACCAACATCTGAACTGGTGTCTACAGGAGGTGGCTTAGCAGGACCATCTGCATCAGTAGATAATCCAGATCCAGTTATGGTGACAAAGGGAGAAATTAATGGGGCACCGCTCTCGACAGCCTGAGCGTGTTTAGTACGGGCATCCCTCAAGGCTTCTTGAAGCCTCTTCACACCAGCCCCACCAGTAAGATGCATGATTCTGTCCTGCAGTAGTCTTTGATCTTGGAGCACCTGCAGCAAATGTCACCCAAATATGATGAAGTAGCAATTAAATAAACGTCTTGATAACTACTGGAACAAGATCGTTCAGATAGCGCAAAAATTCAAAAGCCGTTACCTGAGTACGAATGACCTGAACATCAGGGTTGATAACAACGACATCTCCAGGAAATTTACACTTGAGAAGCATAGAAACCTCCAACTGACAGGCCATTCTCGTCATCTCTTCCTCCAGTACCCGGGCATCCTTCACTTTCCACGCCACAAAATGGTACAGATAAGCACACCACGCTGCGTCAAATACGGCGAGCTGAGCAGCAAATGGTCGGGATGAAGGCAACGGAGCAGGAGCTGTGGTTTCTGAGGGCCACTCGGTTCGTGATCGCTTCTGAGGAGAGCCGTTAGGAGAAGAAGAGCCTGCCGGAGTGGACGTAGGACCATCGAGGATGATTCCCATCAAAACTTCAAACTCGGGTAAAAGGCTTGCGGCTGCTTCTGAAAGAGCCAGCTCTCGTTTCTCCGTGCCGCTACTAAACACCCCCTCTGGCTGGCCCACTATCATATAAGCACATAGGAATACGCGAGCGGGGTATCGATCGAGCTCTGTCTCAGCTGCGGCTTCTTTAGAGCAATTTTTCAGATCAAAGGCTCCAGAAGCAACCGGAGAGGCAGTGGGGTCTCTTGGGGGAAGCTTGCCTGCACGTAAAGCCTTGTCCTTTCTTATCATCAGACTGGTGGCACTTGGTGGACGCGATTTGCGCGTCGGTAGTGAAACATGCTTGAGCAGGGAGTCGACGCTCGTGGTAGTGCTGGATTGACCATCGAGAGATAGTTTTAGACGGCTTTCCATCCGAGCCAACAGTGCCTTGACAATTTTAAGAGTCGTGGGGGCGGTGATGCGGGATGCAAGCTCCTCAAAGGAGATGGATGTGACAGACTTCCCGTGCAACCCACATGCTGCATAATTTTGTGCCAGCTCGTATGTAGTACTTCTGGACTGTCGGAACTGTCTCCAGCAGCTGCACATGAATCCCACCGATTAACAATTCAAGCGACAGCTCATAACTTTCCGTAACAAATTTCATAGGTTGTCATAATGCTAGAAAAATTCTGATTCTGGTAGTTATCAAGCAATCAGGCCAATGTAAGTTCTATAAGCCTACCTTCCCAGCTTCATATTGAGTAATTTCTTGAAGGGTTCTCACCGAGTGAGCTTGCGGCAAAGGCGGTCACCCTGTTGAAGTTTCTGCTGGCAAGAATTTTTACAACCCCCACGTTTCTGCAGAAATTCTGCACGCTGCCTTCGCGCCTGGTTTACCCAAAACATTCACTACATTCAGCGAACAACAAATTCTTGGTGACACCATCATTTTAGATACTGATCAGTGAGGGTGTTAGCAGTAAGGAATGGAGATTTACACGCTGCAAGCGTGCTTCAAGTTTCTCTCTTTTGTTCCTTCTTTCCAACTCTCGTTCACGTACAACCTCTTGGGCGACTCGTCGAGCTTGGAGGACAGTGGCCTGGGCGCGGCATTTCCCAGCTTCAATGAGACCAGCACGTTTTTCCTCAGCAGCTGCTATTTTTTGGCATATGGTCAACCGAAGAGCTTCAATGCGCTCTCGGTCCTTGCCTTCCTGATTTGTTCTGGCCACTGCTGAATGCGCTGATCTTTCATGAGCAGCAGCCCGGCGTTGTTTATCAAGTTCCAGGAGAGCTAATCTATTGGTTTCTGCTTGATGAACTCGTGACTCCACTTTGCAACCCAACTCTTCGCGCTCTCGCTCCATGCGCAGATGGGTCTCTGTCTTGGCTGCCAACCGGAGTTCATGAATCCTGGCTAACCTCATGTGCTCTTGGGCTTGAAGCTCCGCCCTGCTAATCAAGATAAGGTCGTGCAAACATAACTATTGCATGAGTTCCAACCTCCCCATACAATCATAGCAAGTCATAACCTGCAATACATATCAAGTTCTTACAGTTGCAAAACATAAGAGAGTGTTTTGACAATTTATAATCTTCCTGCTAGTGCTACCTCTTGTGCTCAGCAGCAGAAAGTTTGGCTTCAAGGCGCTGAGCTAAATCTTCTGAGTCAGAGTGCGGAGGGCTCACTCTCCGCTTCGGCCGAGCTTTGTTCACCAGCCATTCATGAAATTGCTGCAAAATAGCATGTTCGGTACTAGCACTGTTAAACAACCTCGTTTGTAAAGAACAGTCTGATTAACAAAGAAAAGTTACAAAATGTGATATAAAGATGATTACCAAAAGTACCTGACGTCTCAAGTCTGCTTCCTTGAGTCTTGTCTCTATTTCATCGAGGCTCTTCGTCTTGCTTTCAAGACTGTCCTCCAGACGTTGTCTCAGCCATTTGGGCACTGGAGAGTTGGAGATGACACATTCTGAGATTTCAATATCAAAAGCGACGCCCGTGCCAGGATTACCCATCATGTTTCCCTCCCCTCCAGCCAAGGGCTCTCTGTGAATTGAGGTTGCCATGCTTCATTCAGTTTGCACCTAATAAGAAACGAGAACAGATGCCTACAGTTAAAAGCCCGACATTGACACCAGCTCTGAGAGTTCTGAAATCAAAATTTTGGCTATGTCAAGTTCCACGAAACCGAAAAGGAGCTGCGATTGTAGAGGAGGACAACAACTTAATTTCGATCCTCAGATTCTTATCAGAGAAAAAAGCGATAGGACTCCAAACTTGAAGATACCAACAAAGATACGTTAAGTGGTAAAAGTAAGAATGATCAGCAGAAACTATTTTCGGAAAGTTCAGACAAAGCATCTCGATGAAAAATTCCTTGAGGAGGTTGAAGTGAAGGGCACAAACGTCGTCCGAACCTCCAAACCTTAAAGCTCAAGGGAGTTTACGCACAGAATGCCATGTCCATATCCAGTGGGGCATACCAGTCTCTTCAATGAAGTCTTTACGAAGTAGAAAAAATTAAAGAATTAAAAAAAGATTACAATGAATATCCCAGCCAAATTTTCACACCTCGCAGTTCTTTTGAGACCTACTGACGTGTGATCTCTGCAGCAATCGAAGCACAAATTGCAGCATGTGTAATACAGATTGATGTCGTCTTGGAGAGGTTTGCCATCCATGCGCTGGAGAACCACTTGAAAGCAATGACGATCGAGTAGATTGCAATGGCCATATGACAGGTGTCAACAACCAGAACTCTGTACTAATATCGAACCTCTTCATCTATCACGGAACGACAGAATCGCGAGAAAGTAGATTTGGAAAGGCAAAAAGGTCTTCGATAGACGTCCGCCAAGGAAATGTCTCAACCTCCGCACCTCATCTGTTGTAGAATGCTGGATTATATAGTTGGCTGGGATATTCATTGTAATTATAAGAAAAGTTGGATTTCAAGGCTTTTACAGGCACTCTAGGATAAAAAGGCAATCACAAGAAGAATAAGTACGAAACCGATCAAATTGTCCACCAAGCGCAACATAGTGTCCACCAGGCCTACCTATGGCAAACTCAACCACCAACAATCAGAAAATTCCGGTATGAGGAATACATAATTCTCGTCGCAACGGGAGGCGATTGATTCTTGTCAGTGGAGCACCTCGGTCACTTCAGAAACATTCTGAATGAACGGCCAATATTTCGACAATGGGTGGCACTTGCGAAATTTGCAAGTACTTGCATCCAATCCTTTCAAAGCTAACGATGCAGTGAACAACGGCAAACCTGGAAACCCTCTCCTAGAATCAAATCATCAAATTTCACAACGACGAGATTGGACAATGCCATGTACCTTCTGGCGTTTCCTCAAAACTTGCGCAAGCACAATGCACCGCTTTTCAAAAGCGCCCAGTCACCCACTCTCCATCAAAATGAAACTTAATCCTCCATTAGTTGATGTGAAAATGAGAAATTCGCTCAGAGATCTGTCTGAAAACATCTTCTGGTTCTATCCGACAATCTACAACACCCACTATGGATTTGAGTTCGTCAGGAATAGGGTCAGTAGTGGAATGTTGTCTGACGAGAGCATCACGTTGCAGAAGGGCCATGAGAAAACATCAAATGAGAGAATAGGTATAAAACTTCATGGAATTGTACTATGCGGATGACCTTCGAAGTCATGGAGAGAAACGAGGTTGCAGAGTCACAGCTTGAATAGGAAAAAGGAAACAGAGGTTCGGTAACGGCTCCAACTACATAGAAGCACGGTTCGGCTCCCACCCTGCTGCCCAACCTCCTTCCTATCCTTTCCAAACCGCACCCAACTCACCAGATGCATACAATTCTAGAACCAAATCTCTGTAAAACGTGACCAGGTTGAGCTTTTTCGTGTGCAGATGTGCTGGGCAGGTCGTTAAAATTTTAAAAAGCTTCCGAGCAGAGGACCCAACGAATAAAATGCGATACATACACAACAGTAGCTTCGTATATCAAAGAAGAGTGAAGTCGAGACTATCTTGGGGTGCGCTAGGTGCTGAGCTGCTGGCCTGTGGTCTTCAATTTTTTCTTTTTATTTCTCTTTGTCGAGGAACTCTAATGGTGCAACGGTACAAAAGCAAACGACAGGGCGAGTTCCACAAACAATCCAAGAAATCAACTACGCAAAGAGCTTGAAAAAGCTCAAAAGTGCAGAGAGGAAAAGCATGGAAAATGAAGCAGGAAGAATCTTTATTGTATTTACGAATAGAATCCGACACGCCGTAAGGAGATGGTAACCATTCGAATGATACAAACGCCGCGGCTTTAGAACCGAGCAATGATTATGAACAACCAATGGAAGCATTATCTCTTCCTCTATACATGAAACATAAACACAAGGCATTTTCTATATACATGGCAGCTGTACTATACACGGTAATCTCTGATCGTATACCATTTCACCGTTCCTCACCGATTCACAACCTTCTTGTCATGTAACACTGCTGTTATCAAATGAAGCAGTGTCACAAGAGTTAGCATGGATGCACTATGCAATGAGACATCGACCCCTTCCATGGCGTGCGTGACGTCGAACACTAAAGGACAAAGTCGGTAAAGCACTAATGTTGGCTACGAACTCCTTCCAGAATGCAAGAGTACCACGGCTCATGGACTCTACACGTCACCTCTGCGACCACCTCGGCAGCTTCAGCGGTGGCCACTACCTTGTCCGTCAAATACAGCCCGCCAATCCTCTTCAAGGCTGCCTGTGCAACGACCATGCCCTGTGGGCCTTTGCCAAGGATTAGCAGTGCTCGTAAGCTGGTGCCAACAGCAGCAGACACGCGTGCAAAGACTGTATCTTCAGGTGACAAACTCTTATTCAGAACCCTCGTCATGAGCTCCGAGCTCATGCGTGTTACAGGAGGATCAACCGTTCCATCTTTATCTTTCCTATTGGCAATCTCCGCAAGGATAGACCCAATTTGAGTCATTGAGGCTGTTGGGCTATTGAGAAGGTTTTCAAGCTTTTGTTTTCCTTTCTCAATAATGTCTTCCAACTGAAGGCCCGCAATGCCTTGACTCACCAACCCTTGCCGAGCTATCAGCAGCCTGCCAATTAAATAGAAGTGTAAGTTTGATAAGCCATTTATCACGACAGATTAACCTCGGATGTGAGAACCCGAAGATGGGACCAATACACGACATTAAGAATTGGCCAATGGTTTAAAACGGAAATGTTAAAACTATTAATACAATCACTATCTTTGTAACATTCCTTCTTTACAAGGCACAGATCATTATACAAAGATCGAACATAACTGACTGGAAAGTGAAGGGCGTTGAAATACTGACCCAGTTGCTATAACAAGAATTTGCTGAAACGAATTTTGATAATCAAGAAGCCTTGAGGTATTAAGAGCAAGAGTCTCCGCTATGGACTCCACATTCGCTGCCTCATTGCTGCGAAGAATTCGAAGGAGGCCCAAGCGTACCAAAGTGTCATTGCAATTCCATTGCACCTCAGGAAAACTTCTCTGACCTGAAGATGTTCCCAAACGCACAACATCAGTCTCACAGCTTCGGCAAAATAATGAAACATACTGGTACAACGAAGAGCATGCTGAAGAGAATCAAACCTGAAGAAGAGATTGCAGACTCAGCCAAGGGTGCAGCGGCAGTTGCTCCTTTCGATACACTGAGACGTCCTCCGGTACGCATTGATGATGGCGGTGGAATTCCTGCACCAGCTGGCTTCAATGGAAGCATTTGCAGTGCTGACTCTGCTGGAGCTAACGACATTTCCAATTCCATTTTCTCCTGCTCCAAACTTTTAAGTGCTTCAGTAAACCAAGAGACTGTCTTTGGGAGATGATGTGCGACTTCAGCAAAGGAGGATGCTGTGGTAAGCTGGTGTCGGGTTGAAAAGGTACTACGCATATAATCGATACCAACTGTCCCACCAATGAGGGGAGCGATTGCTTGTAACCGAGAAGCACTAATGTCTTGCTTGAGCACCTGCATTTTCTCCACATATAATGTCAATTTTGTAAGCGAAAATTCTTTCAAAACATAAACATAACGAGAGACAAAAGTTCAAGAGGTAAGGACATGGAAACTACATAAAGTGAGAACAGAAGTGGACACTACCTGCAGTTGCTCAAAAATAAACCGAAGACCTTTCACAAGAGTTGTAAAAAATGCAATTTGTGCAGGCTTGCTGCCCGAAGGTACTGTTGCCGATAACTCCTTGACCAAGGACCCATGCGCAGCTTTTGCAGGGCTGTCGCGAGCTGGAGAACCTAGTTTCAGAATTAACCCAGATGCGTAGTCTAATAATCGGCGCAAATAGTCTACATCATTACTTCCAGACTCCAAAATCTGCACCGAATACAATCAGTATTGAGAATCAAACAAAAAAGCAAATTGGAGAAAATAGAGGCATTTCAAGCATCGACAACGTGGGAAATGGGTGAGTAAGATCTAACCTGAGTTATCAGTTCCAAATCCATAGATTCCCGAAGCTCATCTTTCCAACTCTCAGGAACAAGAGCTACAAGTTCCTGCCGCACCTCTCCAACTAAATCAACAACACGCTTGTAATCTGTAGGCTCTTGAGCCAACCCACTAGCAATATTATCCCAAAACGCATTCTCCATTATAGACCGCACCTGATCTTGAAGATCATTGATCTTTTTTGCGGATGGGTTAACAGAAGAGACTAAATGAGGACTTTCCTGCAGGTGCCATTTCGAATCATGGAGCATCTCGTTGACAATTTGCTCGTTTGTAAGCTCGGCTCCAACATGATTTGGCACGGAGCTCTGGGAGTTTTGAGCGTCTAGTTTTGCCAGGTTCTCAGAAGCAGTTGGTGAAGCTGGTTCAGCTGACACAGGAGGTGGAAACCTAAATAGTGATCTCACAACCCTCGGTTTACCTGCGTTGGCTCCTACACTGCTGTCCTCGGGTGAAGAAGCCGAGGATACAACTGAACCAGGTGATGTCGGTGACGATTTAGATCTGATGGGAGTGCTGAAAGGAGAAGGAGGAGGAGAACCACTTTCAGGAGCCTCTGCATACCTAGTCCGCACATCTAGAAGAGCTTCTTCCATGCGAACCAAGCCAGCACTACCTGTAAGGTGGGAGATCCGATCCCGTAATAGCTTTTGGTCCTCAAGCACCTGTAACAAATGTCACCCTCAGTGTTGTAAGTAACATAAAAAACGTCCGAAAAGTTAGAATCAAAACGTACAAATTAAACCGCGAAGTCGGTGTAAAATGGAGGTAGATGTCACATGCTCCGCAGACTAAAAACATTTGTGATAAGAGGATGTGTGTCTAAGAAGCACGCGTTAACATATACATAGTCAGGTCAAAATGGCACATCTTTATATGTTAACTATTACCATCCCTGTTATCATACAAAACAATCAGGAAAAGCATAGCTCAACCAGAGAATATTAGAAGACCTAAGTGCATACCTGGGTGCGGATTGCCTGTGCATCGTGACTTAGATCGGAGGCACTCCCTCCTTGTGGAATTTTACACTTATGAAGCATAGAAACTTCTAGCTGGCAAGCCATCCGAGTCATGTCTTCCTCCAGAGCCTTGGCATCCTTTACTTTCCAGGCAACAAACTGATACAAATAAGCACACCAAGCTGCGTCGAACGCAGCAAGCTGGGCAGCAAACGGTCGTGGTGAAGGCAATACAGTAGTAGGGGACATATCCGCCGGCCAGTCATACTTTGACCTTTTCTCGGGAGGATAGTTCGGAGAAGATGAACCGGGCGAACTACTTGTAGGTCCATCAAGAATGATTCCAATTAAAGCTTCAAATTCAGGCAAGAGCTTGGCTGCTGCCTCTGCGAGAGCCGATTCCCGCTGTCCTTGGCTACTAAACACAGCTCCAGGCTGACCCAGAATCATGTAAGCACAAAGGAACACACGGACTGGATACCGCTCCAGCTCTTTAGATGCAGGTTTTGGAGCTTCTTTGACTTTAGAAGCTGCAACAGTACATTGTGCTTGAACACCTTTGGTATCTGTTGTTTTTAAACTTGAAGCACTCGGATTTTTCTTGCCGAGCGCACTACCGACCGTAGTACGAGGTTTCCGAGCTGGAGGTAACAGCCGTTTCAGAAGGTGATCAATACATGTCATTTTGCTTGACTGACCTTCCAAGGAAAGCTTCAACCGGCTCTCAATTCGAGCCAAAAGTGCCTTCACAGTTCGAAGTGTAACAGGGGAAGTAATGCGAGATGCCAATTGCTCAAAAGATATTGCCCTCACTGACTTCCCGTTTAGCCCACACGCTGAATAATCTTTTGCTAGTGCATAAGTCGTGCTTCTAGATTGGCAAAACTGCCTCCAGCATCTGAACGGCATAAAAGAAAATCAGGGTTTGAACAAAGAAAGACAATAACGAGAACACGTTTTCCACTAACCAAAATTCATGGAGCTTGCAAGTGTAGAACAAACGGCGCAAAAGATATCCTTGAAGCTGTGTGCTGTGGCAGAATATATTATACCAAGTTCTTACCGAGTAAGTTTGCGACAAAGTCGATCGCCGTGCTTGATTTTCTGTCCATGGTTGTGCGATGATCCTTTGCAGCCTCCTCTCTGCCGCAGAAACTCAGCGCGTTGTCCCCTTGCCTGAATGAATATGAATGATTAAAACCAGTTAGTTGCTGATCACTGGCTCTCTCATAATTATCGGACTTCAATATAGAATCTTGAATACTAAAAGCATTGGGTTCGTCTTCAATGAGTAAGGCTGTAGGTTAGCTCATGAGCAAGTCCAATGATCCTCGGCCAGTCAGCACAAATAAAGGCACGAGTAAGGGCAGACTTACTCGTTGAAGTCGTGCCTCAAGTTTCTCCCTTTTCTTCCTTAGCTCCAACTCACGCTCGCGAACAACCTCCTGTGCTACTCGTCGAGCTTGAAGAACAGTAGCCTGAGCCCGACTCTTCTCAGCTTCTAAGAGACAAGCGCGTTTTTCTTCAGCAGCCGCAATTTTCTGGCAGATATTCAACCTGAGAGCTTCAATACGTTCCCGGTCTTTTCCCTCCTGGTTTATCCTCACAACTGCTGAATGAGCCAATCGTTCGTGCGCTGCAGCGATACGTTGTCTCTCAACCTGCAAGAGAGCTAGTCTATTGACTTCCGCCTGATGGACGCGTAATTCGACCTTGAAACCCAGCTCCTCTCGTTCTCGTTCCATACGAAGCTGGGTTTCAGTTTTAGCTGCCAAACGTAGTTCATGAACCCTAGCCAGTCTCATCTGCTCCTGTGCTTGGATCTCCGCCCTGACAGAGAGAACGTAATTAAGAAAGACGTGATCGACCTTGAACAAAAAATATGTCGCTTGTGAAACCCCTAACAAGCGAAGAACAGATGCAGGTTTTTTAAAGCGGATAAATGTTGAAGGTTTATGTGGGTTGATTTTGATTCAGAGCTAGAAAGAAAAGATTATGTCTACTGTGAGTACAGCGTCTTTCGTCCTCTTCCGAATTGGGCATACCGTATCGTTGAAAGAGCCGTTAGGGGAAACAGAAGTGAAATAAAAGAATTAAAATGAAAAATTAAGTAGTTAAAATGAACCAACACACTCTCTAAGTCACGGAGGTAGCATAATATGATGTGAACCCCAGCGTGGATTCATAATTTTCTATTCTTTAATGTTTGCGTCCTAATAAGTCAAAGCTGGCATTCTGAAATCCTACCTCTTCTGTTCTGCAGCAGAAAGTTTAGCTTCAAGGCGCTGCGCCAGATCTCCAGATTTTGGCGAGTTCGGAGGACTCACTTTCCACTTTGGACGTGCCTTGTTTGCCAACCATTCGTGGAATTGCTGCAAGAAAAAGAAGAGAGATGCTAAGTAAGGGTGAAATCTCCTGGTCATTTGACAGCAGTAAAAAGTACCTTATGTTAACAATATTTGCTGAAACTTCCTTCTGCTGCGTAATTTAGCAAGCAAGCAACTCCTCCAACAAGCCAACAAACTTCTGAGAGACAGGCTACAGTTAGTCCGTAACTCTGCGTTTCCATTGCTGGCAGCACATGAAATTACCTGACGTCTCAAGTCTGCTTCCTTGAGCCTCGCCTCAATATCCTCAAGACTTTTGGCCTTGCATTCAAAGTTCTCCTCAAGACGTTGTCTGAGCCATTTGGGTACAGGGGAATTGGAACTGACACATTCTGAAATTTCAATATCGAAGGCAATGCCTATTCCTGGGTTTAGGATCATCCCCTCCATTCCGCTCAGGTGGTCTCTGTGAGCAATCTTTGCCATGATTCATCCACTTTACGACAACTGTAAGAACATGTCACATAATTTCATTAGAAATGCTCACAACATGGTGCACACTATGATCAGTGTGCTTGGAAACGAGCAGGATCTATTTACACACGTTTGGCCTCAACTTCCACGCAACACTACCCCTTCATTATAAAAAAATCAAACTAGTACCATTCAGCTCACAGGATTGCCCTTCATTCGAGCAGCTTCTGAACATAAAGACTTGAGAATGAGGCAATCCTATTTTTGAGTATAAAATTAACAAACGAAATATTTTAAAATAAAAAATAATTAAAATTTAGAAGACGACGGCATCAGCCTGGCAAACAGCTCCGAATGAGGAACTGATAGAAAAATCTGATAAGGATATTCGAAACGCCTATATAGTCCAAGAAAATTATGCTGTAGTAAACGGCCAATTAACGGTCAAAATTGGTTAAACATGCAAGAATGTACCAACAGCTTGCAAACAGAGCTATAGTCCGTACAGCTACACATCGACCCAGACGGTCATCAAGTTAAAGAAGTGCTCAAGGAAATTCTGGAGTCGCTTTTTTGTGAGATAATGACGCAACGACAGTGAAAAGTAGACAACACGTAGAAAATTCTACTGCCTGAACTGCCAGTAAGCGTTGTTCCTTGGACTATTTGAAGAAGAGATTACCACTACCTACGATTTGCACATCTGACCAGCAGAACTTCTGGAGAAAAAAAAAACTTAAGCGCTACAAGAGGTAGGTTTTCACACAGAACTGTAAAATTTTCAGCTAGAGGAAAGAGGAAAGCACAAGTAATGCTTAGCTATGACGAAGAGTCAAGGGGTATCCTTCCAGGCCTGTCGTTTCTGAGCATTACCGAATTCAGAAATGAGAAACGGCTGCGAATTATTCGACACTTCAGGCGGTCACAAAGGAAAGCAGGCTCCAACGAGAGTTCGACTACGAACAGAGTGTCATTCGCCAGAAGGACGACGGATGGAAGGAAGCCCAGCAGAGCAGATAGCGAGAGGCGAGGAAGCGGAGGTCAAGAGATTTTCATTGAGAAAAATCGACTCTCTGCTCTCAATTATCCTAGCAATCTCCTACGAAGCGGCCAAGATTGCAAGGAAACAGATCTGAAAAGGCAAGAAGTGACAATTGGACGCCTCGTGATGACTTAGAAGAAACCCTTAAACTCTACTACTGCCCTGTGATCTTCTCTTTTACGCTCGATGCTTGTCGAAGCCAATGAACTGACTACTCCGACACTTCTAGCTTTCTATACGGCACAGCTTAGAATCAGCAAGAGCTCTTTTCCTATTCTCGGCACCAACCAAGGCAGAAATCCCAACTTCACGAAAGGAGAGGCCCCAACGCCAATTGACGTTATTCTCGCACATCCTTTTATCCTGCGTGCGCCTTAGGTTACGACCACCCACCTCAAGTAACTAAACTACGTTTTTCGACAGAAACAGGATTCGTAAGTTTGAGACCCCCATCGTGCTTCCTCTCGTGAGGCTAGGACAACACAAGCCTCTACAACGAATTTAGTACCAGAATCTATCTATCACCGAGTGGGCCAAGAAATTCACAACGGAAAAAAACGTGCCAACGGGAAACACACAATCTCACCCAAGGCATGGGGGGAAAAAAAAAAAAAAAAAAAAAAAAAAAAAAAAAAAAGGGGGTCGGCAACGAATCCTCCTCAGTACCTGTCTGTACACCGTTTTGGCCAGTCAAAAGCTGCAACCGAATTCCCACTGCACTCGAATTCACTCCCCCACACACAACTTCCTGCTGCAACCAAGCAAGGAGCGATTCTGCAGCAAGAGAAACAAAGACCGGTTGCGTAGTGGAACAGCCACCGGGGCCCTGAATAACGTCTCTTCGCCCTCAACTCAAGTGTTGCCAACCCACCACCACCCTACGGACCGTTCCCAGCAAAATCTCACTACATGCTCGAATCCTTCGCACAACCGATCCTCTCGCACTAACTCTCGCAGTCTCCACACACCGTCATCCCAATTCCCTATCTCCTGCGGCGATGAAACCCCTGGCAGTGCACAGGCTCTCAAAAGACCCTTCACAGCGAGAATTGGCGGGGCGAGATCGACTTAATTTTGGGTTGCAACATCAACGACGACAGCAACAGCAACAGCAACAGCAGCCAGCGCCAAGTCGCAGTGAAGGAGAGGGTATCTGGGGAGCGATGGAGTGAGTGGCTGATTGATGAGAAAGTGGGCACGGAGTGGCAACTGAACCCCCCACCTCGGGATAGTCCTGATCGTTCGCTGACCTCGGAAAACACGCTCCCTCCTCGTCGTCGTCTCTACGCTCGTCGTCTTCACGAAGCCTCTCCGGAACTTACCGTACAGCGGCTTGGCAGGTGCGGCTTTTTTTATTTTTTTCCTACTTTCTTTTTCCCCTCTTTGGCCAACCGGGGCACTCCCTCCGGATAAAACAAAACAATATCCCCCCCTTCTCCCTGGTAAATAATCCCCTTCTTACTTTAAATCAACTTATCACTTTTTCTCTCTTTATCTTTTGTCTTTTTCTCCTATGAAGGCGCTCGGGAGAAAATTGCCTCAAAACTTCTTGTAGGTTTGCAAATACATGTCACGAACATAACCTTTTGTACATATTCCCCTTTTGCGTTATTTAATCTTGGATGAACAGACACAATGTCAGTAAGTATGTGTAGCATCCATTAAATCTTGGCCTGTTTGTGAGGGTAATTACTGTATTTTATTTTTATTTTCATTTTTGCACCATAAAAGTTGGCTACAATTAATTAGTAAATTAGGTCTATGTTTTGAAGGGGATATGTACATTCGTATATAGAGAATAGAAGAGAATGAATGAGAACATACATCTTTGATACACTCTGGGGAGTCGCAAAAACTCGGCGTCAAAGGCATAGTCAAAACTCAAAAACCCTGATTGGCCACAAGAACAAGTTAGAGATCTCTTTTTAATCCAGTGAAGACGTGCCACAGCATTCTAGATGGTTCGGCGAGTCAAGGTGGGGGGCATCTACGTGGCCAACTCCCAAAACCGCTTATCCTACATGGCATTGACTTGTGTGGGCCAGGGGAATTGTGTAAAGAGAAAAGATGAGACTAAGAAGGTGGCGTTCAAGACCCACACACTTTCAAGACCCACTCTTGGAGGAGGAGGAGGAGGAGATCACGCTCCTCGAAACTTCCCCACTGGCCAGATTCCGCGATCATGAGTCCCCTCGGAAGGGGGGTGTCCCTCCTCGTGATGCCCAATCCCATCTGCACGCGTACCAAACCCGTTCGTTCACCCACAGTCATGCATGAGGATGAGGCTGTGCTTGGAATGCTGAGCAGACTGAGGTCGGGTAATGGATGGATATTAGTGGATGAGTAAGTATGGATGGATGAGCTCTTCTGGGGGACTATAATGGGAGTCTTTTTGGATGTGATAGAGCTTTGAGGAGATGCTTAGCTATTTTCCAAGGAAAGACGAAGTCTCGAATCTCTTTGTGACAGTGGTCAAAAAAGGCATAGAGTGCATTTGAGTTCTTCTCAAAATTCTTTACTTGTAAAGATATATATATATATATATACATCTATGCGGGTGTGTGTTTGTGTAGTGGGATTTTTTAAATTTGAAAATATTTTCAGAAGGGTTATCGTCATCTGTGAAGCACTATACCAAGTTCAGTTACACAATCAGATTTTGTTTCATGTACTATTTATTTATAACGATGAGAAAATTTGGTTGATGGTGAGTTCTTACTTTAACACTCAAACTGATAATAGCAGGTTGTACTGGACTCCATGCTGTGTTCTAAATATGACTTGAGATAACCATATTCAGATATTTGCATGCATTGCGAAACTTTGGTAACCCATGTGCTCAATATTGCACACAAATCGACAGAATCATGCATTTGTTAGCACTTTGAATGTTTTTTTCTTAGTAATATATATGTGTATTTATATATATATATATATATATATGTATGTAAAATAGACCCAGGCTTTTACTAAATCGACCCACCCTTGATGAAGAAGATGGTAATCACCATGAATGTGGTTGGTTTTCATTGGTTGTACATCCATCAGTGGAGAAATGAATCTAGAGGTTGTTTGTTTTTTCATCATGGTTAGGATGGGTGGATTAATTTAGTGAAAACCTGGGTCTATTTAATATATATATATATATATATATATAGATATATAATTTAAAGTTTGTATTTCATAAACCTCAATAAATTTGAGTGTATTTAATTTTTCATTTTGAGGATAATTAAATCTATGTATATGCAATAAAAGTTGCAAGCAAGTGAAAGAGTTGTTTGAAGTTTAATACCCTGTTAGATTCATGCCACCATGAATAACAGATATACTTCTATAAAGATTTACAATGAACAAAAGCAACCCAGTAACAAGTGTAAAAACTTACTGTGTTCCTCTTGAGACAAAGAGTTGTGGTTATGCATTTGTTGCATTCACATGTACAAAAAAATGACCTTTCAAGTTGATTAAAAAAATAAATATATAAACAAATCCTTTTCCATTAAGATTAGTTGTTCATTAGTTTTAGATTTCCATTACATGTTTATCATAAAATTATTCAATTCTATCATTGTGTTTGAAGTTTAAGAGCTATTTTTTGTTTGAGTAGCTCCATTTTCTTGGGTTTTCTTTTTTCTTTTTTAAAATTAATAAATTTTACTTGCCAATTTCTTTAAAGCATACACATCAACATTTTAATATTGATTTTTGCAGACACAAACCAACCCCTGAGAGAATAATTAGGACAATTTTTTCAAAAGTATTTTTAATCCATTACATATCACATAATTCACCAACAATGTCAAGTATACTGATACTTTGCTCAAAATATAATTTTCAAATAATCCCAACACAAAATCAACAAGTTAGATTTCAAATCACTGTATGTTTCGATTTTGAACAGTTGTTTCTGCATGGAATCGAACTAACAAGATTATCGTTCATGTTTCAATTAAAGAATTTTGCAAGTGAATTTCTTTACAACAACCTTAAAGTTTTCTCCACAACCATGTCATTTACAAAGTAGTATTTAAGACAAACGCAGTTTACACCAATTTACAGTCGATTTCAAAACTTTGAACAAATAAAAAATGAAATCTAAATTGCATTCTGCTCATTTGAGTGGCGTGTGTCAACAAAATGGCGGGATGACGTGGCGGGATCGGGGGTTGCACCGACAGCATCCACGCATTGCTGAGCTGGACCATGCACCACCTTAGCATCCACGGCGGGAATAGAGTTTCCCGGGGAAAAAGATGATACGAGGCATTCATGGTGTACTTCCTGTGGGGATTGGTGGAGGGAAGTCAAAGTTTAGCTTTTTCTTACACGACCACAAATGCTCACAATGCGTTTGGTACCCACTCCTTTTTTCTTTTCTTTTCTTTTTTTAATTTTTTATCTTGATTTGCTTATATAATATATAATTCACTAAAATGGTTGACCTTTGAAAGGATTTTCCTCTTCTCTTTTCCATAGTTCTTTTTCTTTTTTCTTTTTCTAGAGAGTATGGTCAATATTTGACTCACAAATATGGTCATTATATGAAATATATTATTATCACCATTTTCCGGGCCTAAAACACTTGGAAACGAAAAAGCAATAAACTCCAAGTTTAGGGTGCTTCGTATGTGCCTTAAAATTACTGCTTGTTGAGGTATATTGCCGGATACATTGGGGGGGGGGGACTTAGAATGTACCAACAAGTGTTTTGATAAAAAAAAATAAACATTTGATTCATAATATCTTCTGTTTAGCATGCTTCAATTTCTTGACGTCATTGCATCTTAGTATGACCAAATGTTTTTTTTTTTTTATCTACAGTTAGTATGTCTACAAACAAATCCTAATAATAACTTGTAAACAAGAATAATTAAGTATATGTATGAGAATTAGTGTGGGAAAATAGTTTCAAGTGTTACATAGACAGGATGTTGTTTCCAGTGGTAAACAGGTCACCCTGGGAGTGGGGAATGAGTACGATTACAAGTTCCCATCGTTCTACTTACAATCCACTGTTTGCACTGCAGCTGCTTGCACTATGGAACGTTCTCCACTAGTGAACATGGGAGCGTGAGGAATTTACCGCACGGCATTGATTAGTTGGAGACACTGATTGGACAAACCCTTGGGATGCTGACTGGGATTTGCTGACTGGAATTTTTTCGTGCCCAGATAGTATCGGTCGGAGGTGGGCGTTGTTCCTCTCCGTCGGTCAGCTTGCTTTCCTTTCCTTTCATTCAGACCAGATCTCGCAGTGGAAGGCAAAGTCATGGAGTATGTCAACGCTCTGGGTGGGCATGAGCAATCTAACTATATGATGCTTCCATTTGAAGTCATGGCTGCACTGAGTGCCGCTGCTACAGAGAGAATGGTGGGTGGTGGTGCTCACAAAGCTCACATCGGCAACGAAACTGCTCCTTTGTGTGCTACGTTCCATAATGTTTGGCAATTGGAGCGATCAACATCCATCGTGGAAGAGGAGGAGGGGGTTCGTTATTTCGGGTCATGAGCAGTCCACGCAATCCGTTGGCTGGTATTAACGGGTGCGGTGCGAACGAAAATCATGGTGTACCTAACATTGAGTAATGTCAGGCTCGGACTACATGGGTGATTTAAGGTCCGCAGCGTCAGGGAAAGCCGCAATGATCAGACTGGCAACGAAAAGCGGCCAACACCCCGAGTGTTTGAACCGCTCAGGTGGGCACGGTTGGGGCTGTGGGACAGGGAGAGCAGAGATGGATAAAGGTGAGAGGGCACGAAGATGGTCTCATGAATGTTGCACTCCCAAAAGGATTTTTTCCATTCCATCTGGGGTTTCCTTGAAAGACGTTTCCATGGCATTTGCCGTATTGGTGAAAGTGGGTCCTTGTCAGCTGTGACCCCCTCTAACAATTCTCTTCCTGCGTGGCTGAGGAGGCGTGGAATTCATGGAGAAAGATTCCCATGTCCGGACAAGTTTCTTGAGGTTCGCCGTGGCAGGAAGATTCGGTTCTCATTTTCTTCTTCGTTCTCCTTTTTCTGATCCGTGTGTACGGGAGTATTTGAGGGCCGGAAGCTGGCACATAACGTTGTGAGCCTGCAACCCAAAGAGCTTCACTGACACACAAGTGTTACACGTCATAGAACGTAGTAGAAAGATTTTGGATTACTCTCCGTAACGTTAACGTCAGTAAGCTAACAAATCTTTCCTGGATGAGGGTCAGGGTGTAGTTTGGGATAAGATTTGAACGTTGTCGTGGAGTAAGGTACATACTGATCTGATAGTGATGATCAGATACAAAAAGTAGTTTAAATTTGTTGAGTTAGAGGTAAAAATCCTGTTCTGACTGAGTGTCGTCACCTCGAATTATGAGATTATCAATAAGAGAAACGAACACATGTTAAGGGGCTCTGCTACGAACAATTCAGCAATAGGACTTTCTACCAACCAATTTTTCTTTCCCCTTACACATACGGTTGTTCCTTCCTAACTAGAACTTAATACATGCATACGAACTGGAAAGTTTCATTGCATTGCCATGATCAAAATTGGTAACCACATACTGTCAATACAACCTTGCACAAGTATTGAAAGCCATGTCTATTTTCCTGCGTTATATACTACGCTTCATTCCGTTATGTAGTAACCATGGGCTCTGGCGCGGCTGCAGCGCCGTTGGCTGGCTCCATTTTCTGCCCATGATCGAAAAAAATAAATTAGTCAACGCACTTCATGGCCATGTCATAACAATAGTATTTTGGGCTAACTACCACAGAAAGCAGCGAAGGGAAGTATCATAGGAAGCTCACCTTCTCTGCTGCTTCCATCTTGCTGAGGCGAGCAAACATGTTGCCATACAACTTTGCTTCTTTCTTGTTTTGTTCAGCCAGCTTTTGTTTCAAGCGCTTGTATTCAAGTTTTACCTCCCGATTCTGGGGATCAATATCCAGGGCCTTCTTGATGTCTGTCTCCGCGTAATCAAGGTCCAACAATTCAATGTAAGCTTGCACTCTCCTGTACAAGGCCTTCACATTCGAAGACTCCAACTCCAGAACCTGGTCCCAAAGAAGTACGTTAACAGCTGCAAACACTACTGAACAGACAAGAATGCTTCCATGTTCAAAGATGGGCACAATGAAAAAACCAGAACGTAACTAGGACACAGAAATGAACTCATAACCCATACCTTGGTAGTCAATTTCACCACCTCTCTGTAGTCTTTAAGCTTTAACTTGCATGCAGCCATATTGAGATTGCAACTAACTTTAAGAGTCTTAGCCTGCTTCTTTTGAGCATCGTCGAAACTGCTGTCATACTCTATCAATTTTACCGCCTGCACCAAAGATTTTGCACACAAATTTGTTACTCGAAGGTCGTGACATAGGTGTAGATCGAGGAATTAGCTGAACCGAGATTCCACCTAAATGAGGATAAATAGAACGCTCGACCAGACAGTAGGACGTATCTCGGCACTCGGCTTACGGTGCAGAAAACCCTCACCTTCTCATATCTCTTAGATGCCCGTGCGTAATTGCCAGCCTTGAAAAGCGCATTACCGTCCTCCTTCTTTTTCGCAGCCAGCTCTAATTTCTCGGGAACCTCTAATTCCCAAGATTCCTTTTCCTGCCCCAATGAACCACACGTAGGTGCTCTATCAGAAGCAAATCCAAGGTTGTGAAATCATAATTTGAGGATCAATCGCAACAGTGTAAGAATCATAGGTTAAAATTTTGCCAAGTAGGACAACTACGGGCTGTAAATGAGAAGTGAACGGAATAAGACGTAGGGTTTTGCGATTTTGAATAACAGATGGAGGTTAATGGCCACAAAAAATGATCGACACCTCATGAACTGAAGTACATGAATTGGTAGAACACAAGGCTCAGGCAATGGCTATCGAAGGGACAGCACCAAAACACGGTTGAGTTTGAACCTTAATAAACTCTACTAACTCAATCTCGTAAAAGAGAGTAGAATTAGCGGGCACTATGGCCAGATCCCGCTTTGTCTCCTCTCCTCCAAATCCGTATTCCGGGTAGATGGTAACAAGAGCGTGCTCATTTTTCTTCATAGTAAGCACAGCCTTATCAAGACCATCGATAACTTGTCCTGTAAAAAGGAAACCAGCAAGGTTTGTCACCGAGAAACATCCATAAAAAAGCTGCACGAACGTAAAGCACTCTAAGGAGATACAAGAAGAATCCACACTTCTGATTAGTCTTACAAGGGGTAAGGTACACACCTTCATCAGTGACAAATTGGAACAGTTCCTCGCCATCCTGACCGTTCTTCTCAAAGATCGTTCCATTCTCCAACTTGGCCACGTACCGCACTGCATACAACCCGAAACGTTCAACAAAGGAGCACACAAAAATTTCTTTCATTTCGTTAATTTTTTTATTATTTGTGGAAATTGCTCTTGACAACAGGGTTAGGGAGTGTACCTTTAACAGTCGATCCATCATTGGGCTTCTCATAGCCTTCGCCTGCCGTCAAAATTTTCTTGATCACTTTTTTATCATCGGTGACCTCCTCTACCACTTTCCATGAAATGAGCTCAAGCTCGATTTCAAGAACTGCATCACTCGGAATAGCTTTCACATCTCCAGAGGGAGCTGCTCCCTTCTCTCCAAATCCATCTGCAATCTCAACGGCACACACAGTTCAGGGAAAATCAACAGGGTCTAAGAACTGTAGAGTAGCAGCGACATTGCAACCAAACACACTTAACATGGTAAACATCAATAAACAGCGCACTTACATCGGGGCTTCACTGTCAGTAGTGCTTTCTCTCCTTTTAACATAGTCTTCACTGCCTGGCCAATCGCAGGACAGAAATGCCCTGCGTCAACATAAACCAAGCTTAGCGTCGGCTCTGAGGTGATCATTTTGACTGCAATGTCTGAAAGACAGTCGATGAAAGCTATCTCGAGACAGCAGCCATTTAAGGTCAAAACATGTGCCGCGACACTGTTGTGTGAGAACTTACCATCTTTGACAGTGAATTCAACTCCACTTTCTGGGGACTTCGCCACTACTGTCTGATGTCGCTGGAGTCTCACTTCGTACTTCACTGCAAATTTGTCAAAACCAAATACTAATTAGCGACAAACTTCTCGTCGCAACAGGGGATCACAGCACTACCAAGTCGGAAACGAACCCAACCTCATCCCAACAAGAACCGAATAATTTACTAGAGAAACTGACTAAGCATTTGTATTGAACATTACCATCGGCGCTAAACGACTAAACTCTGAATCGAGTGATGTACTTACCGAGAACTTCATCAAGATCCTTTGGATTCTCCCACTTTTTGCCTTCCGTAACAATTTTCTTAATAATGCCACCATCCTTGCAAATGTCCTTCACACTAGCCCAATGAAGGAGCTCTACGTCAAACTTCAAAGTTGCGTTAGCCGGGATAACGGGAGGTGACCCAGCTTCTCCATAAGCATTTTCTGGGGATATCGTGAATGTAGCTTTCTCCCCCTTCTTCATGGTTGCAACGCCCTTATCCCATCCCTTGATCACTTGACCTGCAGAATAGGTATTTTTCACAAAGTTTCAGTGGTGTATTACAGAAAGGCTTAGCGAAACTTGGATGGTCAACGAAACAAACGCCTCCAGGTCACAGCGAGTGCAAAGAGCTTACCTTGACCCAATTTGAAGGTGAAAGGCTGCCCTCTGTCCAGACTTGAATCAAACTTCGTCCCATCGAGTAGAGTCCCAGTGTAATGCACTGAAACAAGAGTAACCGAGACAGAACTTAGATGCCATTTAGGAACTAGAACTCCGCTAGGCAGTCAAAATGTCCGAGAGTGTAGTCAGATTGGCTACACTACCGTGCAAGCATTCCATAATCCTTTACCGATCATCCAAAAGACGAAACTGATATAAGAGAACTTGGGGTGTGTGAATAAGTGTCTACATCTACCCAACGCTGCGTTTCTGTAAGTAGCGTCAGGTGGAGTACGGTCCTAAACGCAGTTTAAAGCTTACGAAAATGGTGTTCTTCGACAGGTAACTGTTAAGTATGCTAACCTGAGACTTCATCGCCAGTATCAGGGGTCTCCCACCCTTCTCCAGCTTTGGTAATAAGCTTTTGCAACCCTCCGCCCTTGATCAATTCTTGAACCTTCCCTACTGTCTGGGGATCATAATCTACTTCCTCTCCAGTTTCTTCAACCTCTTCAGCGTCCGGAATATCAAAATCACCATCCGCCATTCCTGAAGCTGATTGAGATAAGATTCGACCTGAAAAACCATTGCAGTCATCAGCACTGGGCACACAGTCGGTCACCACATGATAATGTGACAATCTCAACAACATGCACCAGATTGCAAAGAAAACACGACCTCTATCTGGAACGCATCTCCTTAATTGCAAATCACTCTCGCAGGAGGAGCTATTCATGAACTGAGCAGCGCTGAAAATCCGCCGAATGGAGCTATCCTACAATGCAGACAACCAAAAGCACAGTGACGACCGTTCTCTAAAGACGTCGCGACACGTCAAAAAAATGCATCCGCAGTAACAGAAACCCGAAAAAGGTCAAAACAGAGGAAGACAGTATCGCACGAAACCATCGCACCGTGACAAAAAATAAAAAGAAAACAACAACAACAACAACAACAACAACAACAACAACAACAATAACAACAACTTAACCGCAACACCAAACCTAGATTGACATTACACTCGAACAAACACGCAGCGCCGCCTAACACAATTCCACAAGCCCTCAATCAAGAAAGAGCCCTATCAACCTCTAATGCAATATACAACACCGTCACCGAATCGCTAAAACCAACGACTCACCGATGGCCTACTCAGAACAGAGTCACCAAAACAGACAAGTCATGGTACGAGAGCCATGCATGAGTTCAAATGCGCAGCGGCATTCCAAGCCAAGCCACACCAGCGTCGCGAAAACGGCATCCGCCGCGGACACAATCTCCCCTGGACCGCACACGAACCTAATCGAACTCACCAATCAAACTCATCAACAATGGCACCTTAACCATAACCATGAAACACACAAACACACATACAGAGAAGAGCATGCAGAGAGAATGACGTACGAACCAGTGGAGATTAAAGCGTCCGGTGCAAGTCCGAGGGGTGGATCGCTGGCGCGAAGGTGATTAAGGGTCGGAGACGCAGTGGACACAATCGAGGATCGGAAGCGGAGATTGTGATATCATCATCGCAGCGCTGCCGCGGTAAATAGCGCAGCAAGCAAGCAAGCATGACACCCTTCCTCCAGGTTCTAGAGAGTTCTCACGGTTCCAGACCCTTCCCCTTCCCCTTGTTCCCCGCCTCGTGCGCGGCCTAACCCTTCCACCGTGGCTACCTGTGCCACGTCAGATGTTCGCCCTTCGTTCCTATTGGGCGTTGGCCATTGCTCATGTTTACTTTCCATGTGATTTTGTTTCATATTTTGTGTAATATTTTGTTTTTTTGTTTGTTTGTTTGTGAGTGATTGGATGAAGGGAAATATTTTCCCACTAGTAAAAGTAGTTTTATTATTATTAGATGTAGATAGTGCATTGATGATGTTTTGAGATGTTCTTTGAATAGGGTTCCAAACTTTAAAGACTAGTTTAATGTTATGTGAGTTGGTGTGTTTTTTTAATGGTTGTTTGTTTAATATTTTGTACTTTTGAAATTGATTTTGTTTTTTCAAGTCAAAGAAAATGCTTTGTTTTGTGGAAATTGTCTAAAGTTGAGGATCTTGAGAACATGATGAAGATAACTAGTTTTAGATTTTATATCATGTGTGTTTATATATATATATATATAGACTAGCAGAAACCTAACCCATTGGGCATTGCAATTTCTGGCACATCCATCTATTCTCTCATTCATCTATCCTCTTTTGTTCTCTTATTTCCTAATTTCTATGTTCCCCAAGTTTCTTGTGTTTCCTTCTTTATAGCAAATCAAAAGACCTCTTTGTCTCTTTGTGTTATATCCAAGCTATCTTATATAATAAATAAGTTGTTGATAAATTCAGTTATGTAGATATGGTTTTTGATTTGTTATTAATTAACTTCACCTAGATTATTCATTACAATCCTATTTCAAAGTTTTTTTTTCTTGTTTTGTTTAAACCATGATTTTGGAATATACATGGAAATTTAATCATATTAAATTTATTCTTAGAAGATTAAAGATTAAGTTGCAAGATAAAAAATTTGTGATTTAAAAAAATAATAATGGCATTTATAGGTGATGAATATGAATTAATAAATTTCCAAATAAAAACAATATGGATCATTAACAAACATCAATTGAATAAGCATTTTTTGCCCTTCGTAGAAATAGATTTGGATTTAGTACAAAATTTGTTCCAATGTTACTAATTTTAAAGTTGGGACAAAAGTAAAGGCATCTTTGCACAACTTGACATGCCTCCATTAATGTTCTCTACTAATTATCTTTTAATTTTCTCAGCAAATTATATGTTTTAGCAGATTTCATAGTGAAATAGTGTTGGCTTTCCAGTTTTGTAAGAACTTTTCAACTACCAATTTTCTTTGTTTGATATTTCTTATTGTAAAATGTTCATTATTATTTCTATACAAAAATACTATAATATTAAATATGATATACATTTACTTAGAAGAAAAATATGATTATAATACAAAATCACACATTACTCACTATTAGTTTTTTTCTAAACCCTGAAAAATGTCGTTTCAACCTTTCATACTTTTATCCTTCATAATATTTATCTAAGAGTGAAATCACCATAGAATATGAAATATGTTGAGCTGTTTATCTAAATTATACTTGGTATCATTATTTTTTATTATCTTTTAATTAAATCCCACAATTCCAAAAATAGTAAGATAAACATGGATTTTGAAATTTAATAACTGTGTGTGTCTATATATATATATCTTAAAGATGTTTGAACTAACCCACAATATAATAAATTATTTTATTTTATAATATTTTCAAAAATATCCAATATATATATATTTTAAGACAAAAGAATTTATTCTTGACTGCGTGTAAACACCTCTGAAATCAACATGTCAGATAAGTTTTCTAAAGCATGTATGTAAACAGAACAAAAGTTGTAAGACCAATATATAACAAAGACTAGTAATAATAAACGAGTACATTAAATACCAGAAAATACCACATTACTTTTGAAATCTAATTTATATGTGTATGATTTTTATAAATTATAAAAATTTGATTTTATGTTGTTTAATCACAATTTTGGGTATTTGTGTATCTCACACAACTTAGACAAAATCACAATCACAATGATAACATAACGATTTCTTAATCTTACAAGTATGTTACAAAATTCTAATTATACGTACTAATAATAACAATAAAAATTTACAACAAAAATAAACTGATCAGATTTTTTAGATATTCAAATAATAAAAAAAACCATCATTAAATTCAAGTTGTAAAGCTGTGGAATGGTCTATATTAAAAAATAATAACAATAATAATTTTAAAATAAAATTTTTTCAAGTTAAATTATAAATATTTTATAAACGACTTTTTTTTTATTATAGCGCATGTTTCTGTATTTTATTAATTTATTATTATTATTATTATTATTATTATTTCTCACAGGATCTTCTGATCTTCAAATTGACCATTTATGACTTTTGAGTATTTGAACTTTATTTTTTAATATTTAGTTTCGCAAATCACATTATCAATAAAACGTTATTTCAAAGACCTAAGATAATAAGTAGAAGTACCTAATAGCTGAAACTACAAAACACGAAAAATTCAAACACCTGTGTGTCATACAAAAATTAAGCAAAAGCATAAATTTGAAAGCTTAAGTGCAAATTGAAAATTGCAAAAAAAAAAAAAAAAAAAAAAAAAAAAAACTCACAATATTGTTAAAAATTACATTAATACGCAAAGATATTCCAAGAACAAAAGCAAACTGTGCAGTTTTTGGAGAACACATAAAACAATTTTACACATAATTGTTATGAACCTGTTAAAAAAAAATTAAGTTTTTTAAAAATTATTTCTACATATCATACTTATTTAGGAATCACAATATGTAGTCAATTTTTTTCTTCTTATATTAACAGTTAACATATTTTCGACAATTAAAATTAGATTAGTTCAGTTTTTTATTTTATTTTATATATTTTTAAATCACACAAACATCCATAAACACACACATCTATCTATCTAATAAATTAATGTTGAACATTCATGCTTATCATACAAACTCAAAGATTGACAATTTAAAAGTTCCATGAAGTTATAATAAAACACAAACAAGACAGTGAAAAAAATCAGGTAGTTTTTGACTTGGAATATAGATTGAATATTAAAAAGTTGATTTTTTAAGGAACCAACATTGTTAAATTTTTTTGTATGATATAATTATTCATTGCAACATTTACTTGAACTAATTTCTTTTGAAGATAATATAGATTTAGAATGATATACAATTGAATTTAACAATTATTATTAATATTTATAACATACAAACAAACATTAGAAGATTTTGTACATAAGCCTTTAAGAAGTACTAACATCATTCAACAGGCGTAAATAAACTTTGATGTGATATATAGGACTTGTATTGTCTTTATGAATTATGTACAAAAAATACTATCTTGTACTCTCTTAAAATCTAGAATGTTTAAAAGCATTTGTCAAAGATTTGATTAAAAAGTTGTAAGTTTCCAAAATTAGCATTTATTAAAGGTAGCAGATAGAATGAGATTTGATGTTGCTGTTATCTATCTTACTGGCATACACATGCATTGTTTGAAGTTTTTTTAAAAGAGAAAAAAGGAAAAAGAAAAAAGGAGAATCAATTTAAATTTAATATTTATTTCACTTGAATTTTACAAATTATACATTACTTCAATTTCTTTTGAGCATATTAATTTTGTTCTTAAATACTATATATTACACAAAATACTATGGATTTTCAAAGTAGCAGACATCATATAAAAAACTAGAAAGTAGACTTATATAGCAATCTAAACAACTGTTGAGCCTTAAAATAAACTTTGTCATGAAATATCACAAGGTACACATAGGAAGACTGTAATATCACAATACCATTGAAATTATTATGAAAATTTGATACATGATTGGCTGAATTTTTTGAAATGCTGTTTACAAAATTAGCCATTTGTTTCAAAAAAATCTCTCATATTCATTGACATATATTTAAAAAAAAAATTATGAATAAGAATATTTCAAAAAAATTACCAATCATGCATTTGTTGATATTTAATCAATTTAAGAAAGAACTAAAGTTAATAGTTTCTTTTGACTGGTTGGGATTCAGCCACTCATGAAATCTTGAGGACAACCACCAATACCTTTTTACATAAAGTAGATGAAATGCATAGATTACATTAAAATAATATTCTTAAAAAATTTGATCACAAAAATATCTTGGATTTTTTATGCTTTACAAAAAAATATATGTTAAAAATAAATATTTTTTAAAGAAAAGTAAACAAAAAGTTTTTCATTTTCTAATCAAAATTAGAAACAAAATTTATATCTAATATAATATGAATTTAGAAATTATTCAATTTAATACCAAAAATGGTTATGATTATTATATATTTTAAGTTGTAACTATGATATAATATGTATATGAATATACATGTATACTAACAAAAACTTGTGCTAGTAGGCACAAAAAGTTAATTTTGAAAAAAAAATTCAACTCAAAAACTAAAGATTCTTATAGAAATTTCAACAAAAAATAAAAAAAATAAAAAATAATTGAAAAAATAGAGTTATTTATATTTCTCTAATATAATTACTTAAGATAATTTTTATATATTTTAGCTCCTAAAATAGCTAGAATAATAAAATTTTAGGCTTATATATATATATATATATATATATATTGATATGTAATAAAATGATAAAAAAACCCAAATTTTTATTAAATCAATCTACATATCTAAACCTTCATTATACCTTCCATCTTCCATCTCTTGTCCCTATTCATCCCATTCTCAACTTCTTCAATCCTATTTCCATCCATATCAATCTTTTGTCCCAACTCTAATGTCAAGGACATGATTTGGAAGAAGATGCATAAACTTGAAAAATCTGTGTTAAAAGAAAAGTGACAAAATAGCAATAAAGTAGTATGTATATTAAAAGGAAATTAGAATGACTATTGCCAAAACACAAAGAAACTAGAGACTCTTAAATCTACACTAGAAGCAAGAAAGGGATTGACAAGAATG